CCGTCGACACGGCCCGAAAGCCCCCGCTCCTCAGGGACTGGGCGAGTAACCCGGATGGTACCGAGACTGACTCCGACTTGGAGAGCAGCGTCTGCGAAATGGGCCCAGCAATGTTGTCCGACATTAAAATGCTAGATACGCTAGCGTTGACAGATCTGTTGGAAGATAATCTGTCTCCACCGGAAATCACATCGATCTTGTAAGTCCTCCCGTGATCATAATCTTGAAGATCATCTGTTGCGACAGGAATTGTGAATTTTAACCGTGATCGCTCTTCTATCCAGTATATTCGCCACTAATGGAGCCATTTTTGCTCATGCCTCTACTCTTTCCCAGCGCCAAATCAGGGGCCTGTGTGCAACATATGGAGCCGCCTACAAAGCGTATGCCGTTAGCCACTCTCAGGGAAACTTAACAGCCGTCAACCCCGCAAACCACCCTTCATCGTTCGTAACGACTTCGTCGATACCACTAGGAGATGTCGGCAGCATTATTTTCGAGCAGGAAGGGCATGTCGCGGTGGTAACGAAGATTGCAGACAAGGTCCTTTTGGCCGTAGTTGGGCCAACACGGATTGATCGTAACGCCGTGTCATCGCCTTCAAACACCAGCAGTCGACGCCCCGTCTTAACGAGCTCCGCCGCGAGCGACATCGAGCGAACCCTCAGACCAGTCGACTCTTTCCCGACAGCTCATGACCATCTCAGTGGCTCTGCCTATGAACAAGCCGGGAAGCTTGCCTCATCAGCCCCAGCTCCTGGCGGCTCTCTTTCCATCACCCAGCTGTCTGCACGCATTGCTGCTTCCAATAAAGCAGCCAACGAAGACGCTGACAAGTCGCTCCGCGCCCAGTGGGAAATTGACAGAACTAGCGACCTCGAAAGACTGGCTAGTTTGAATCTTAACTCACCATCCACGATTTTACTTGCGCTAGAGTCGAAATCTGCGGCTCTCGGAAGGTTCTTGAGCAATAAACTGGCAGATTTGGAAACCCCAGAGGATTTTTAAGTTATTTTCTTGGGCCCCAGTGATCAATGAAGCAGGCAGATTTCATGAATTGATGGATATGTGATTCTTCTTTCGGCTCTTCCTAGCGCCCCCTCGTTGATTGGTAACGAGGGTGGCAGGGTGTATTCCACGCTTGACTCGGCCTTTAGGGACCGGTATACGTACCTGAATACATATACAGATGACAATATCCGGGTAGTCTCTTCTTTTCCACTCATTTGAAATCCTACAGCATGTGATGGGTCTTTATAGCCAGATATTGCGATAATCGAAAGGTTATAATGTACTCTCTATTAACCACCATAACAGGTAAAAACATCCATTCCCCTGACTACAGCCCATTCCTTTAAAGCAAAACCCGTCCAAAGAAAACAGCAAAAAGTACCCTAGGTTGACACGTTGGTGGAGACTTTGAGCGGGCTCGTGAACTTTGTCTCAGAACAAAAGCTGAACGCCTGTTTTACCCACGACATCGGCGCTGTTAGCAAAATGAAAAGCACATAAGGTGGGGGGGGGAGGTGCTAGGTTAGGCTCTTTACCATGACCCTACGACACGTGAGTCCCGGACAGCATTTCATCTTAAGGCTACAAACTTGAGCCCGAGCCTTGCATCCCACCGGCTGAAGCGTGTCGGTAGGACGGATGGGATTGGCAGTGGGAGTGGCGGGACTGGCGCTGCACTGGGGAACGGGGGCGGAGGCGGAGGCGGGGGCGGCCGTGGTCGTGGTCGTGGTGAGCGCCATCAGGAGGGCGGGAAGGATAGATATCGGCTTCATTGTGCTTGCTTTTCGGGGGGAGTTTTGGCCCTTGATGCGGATCAAAAGTGAGCGGGTAGGAAAGGATTTGGAAGAGACACGGGCTTCTGCTTCGCGTGGGGGAACTGAATTCGTTTTGCAGGTTCTGGCAGGCCCTTCCTGGCGGTTTTTATACAGGGACTGTTGGCAATGATTGGGGTCAAGAAGGGAGCTGGTATCTGGGATATGTGTGAAGGATATTCATGCACGTCGTCAATATAGCTGCACACTGCCACGAGTTCATATTCATGCACGGTCATGAATATGATGCTGCACCAGAACAATATGAATATTCTGCAGAACTGTCGTCCCTTGTTTCAGCCCTGTGAGGTATCTCTTTGTGAACAGCTGATGGAAACACTGCGTCCCAGTAGCCGGCTGGTTCTTGCGTTAAAACCCAGTCATGATTCTCATGCAGATGGGTTGCCCAGCAGATCCCGCGGGACGATTGCCCATGAGGAGATCACCATGAAGTAAACATCGACTGGTTCTTTGATGATTTGTGGCACCAAAAGCAAGTCTGATATCAGACGAAAAGTTCATGTCGATGATCATGACGTTGATAGAGCAACAATCTGGGTCATGTTGATCTCCATAGCCAGTTAATAGTTAGGCACTGCAACGCAAGGTGCTTTTCTTTATTGATGGCAGTATCGATTTTCCTCATACTGCCGTTAGATAGCGCAGCATTTGACTTCAGTTCGTTCGCTGCTCAGACTTTGTTAGTCAAACTTGTTCCCTGATCCCGGTTAAGGCCAGAAATGGCATCTTAGGCGTCGAGGAAGGTCCCCTCAGTAACCGCCTCCAGTCACCACGTTGGCTGCTCGCCGTCCATCCGATATCGACGTCGGCTGCTTGACCCCAGAGTACCCGGCGTTGTTTAGCGATCTCGTCGGCACTGCTCCCCAATGATAATGGAGGGCGCCAGGGAGGCACCGCGGCTATCGCTCGCCCATTCCCCCGCAGCCGCCCGCTGTCCCCGCACAGCCGAAGAGCGCCCGCGACGACCACTTTCATCCCAGACGGCCTCACTCTTCCTTTCTTCTTGGATTCAATCGAATTGAAGCAGTTTTGCAATCCGATAACCAGCGTATCCTCTCCGCTCCCATCACAATGGTCCTACCCGCAATTCGGGTCGCTCCGACAGCGGCGACGAGAGCATTCAATCTGCTCCGCACCGTCCAATATACCCACCCTCCCAGCTGTCCCTGCCATTCGAACCCTGCACATCACCACCATCATCAGCCGTCCGCGTCCTCCATAACGAGATATGCGCGGCACATGGCAACCCCGATTGACCCATCCCAGCAGAAAGAATATGCGTTCGAAATGGCAGCGTCCAGCATCCGCTTTGGGCCCGGCGCAACCAAGGAAGTGGGCATGGATTTTACGAACTTGGGCGTAAAGAAGGTGATGGTGGTCACGGATCGAAATGTGGCAAAGCTGGATGCGATGAAGAATGCGATTGAGGGGCTGAGCAAGGAGGGGATCCAATTCACAGTTTATGATAAAGTGAGAGTAGAGCCGAAGGATTATTCGTGAGTTTGAATTGGGCGTAGCTAGACTGTGGTATACTGGGAGCTAACGCGTATCTCTAGAGTGAAGGATGCCATTGCTTTCGCTAAACCATACAACGCCGATGCGTTCCTGGCTGTGGGTAAGCTTGGGCCTGATATACAGTGGAACTATAACTATTGCTAACGCCGAGAGATAGGCGGTGGATCTGTCATCGACACCTGCAAGCTTATGAATTTGTACTGCGTATACCCCGAAGCAGACTTTCTTGACTTTGTAAATGCTCCCCTCGGCAAAGGTCTTCCAATCGCTAGAACGCTGAAACCGCTCATCGCTATTCCAACAACCGCCGGAACGGGAGCTGAAACTACCGGAACCGCAATTTTCGACCTTGTGGATAAGAAAGCAAAGACGGGCGTTGCGCACCGAAATATGAAGCCAACTCTGGGTATCTGCGACCCTCTGAATACGAGAACGATGCCATCAGCTGTGCATGCTGCTTCAGGCCTCGATGTCCTCTGCCATTCTCTTGAATCGTGGACGGCAATTCCATTCAATGAACGCACTCCTCGACCAACTAACCCCATTAACCGGCCAGCCTACCAAGGGGCCAACCCAATTTCGGATATTTTCTCACTCCAGTCCTTGAAGAGTACGGTCAAATATCTCCCACGTGCTGTCAAAGACCCAGAGGACCACGAAGCTCAGAGCCAGATGCTTCTCGCCGCGACTTTAGCTGGAGTCGGCTTTGGAAATGCTGGTGTACATCTGTGCCACGGAATGAGTTATCCTATATCAGGACAGAATCCTGGATATAAACACAAGGGATATGAAGTGGACCACGACATCATTCCGCACGGCGTGTCTGTGGCCGTTTCTGCTCCAGCTGTTTTCCGGTTCACAGCTGCAAGTAACCCCGATCGCCACCTGGCCGCGGCGGAAATATTCGGCAAAGATATCTCAAACGTGAAGCGCGAAAGCGCTGGAGAGGTTCTTGGTGAAGCGATTGCAGAGTTTTTGATCAAGTTGGGCGATCAACCACGGGGACTCAAGGATTTGGGGTTCAATAAATCCCATATTGACATGTTAGTTGAGGGGACGATACCTCAGAAGCGAGTGCTGGACCTTGCGCCAACTTTGAGCAAGGAACTCGAAACTGAAAAGGAGGAATTGCGAAAACTGTTTGAGGCATCGATGGAGTACTAGAGTCTAGGGCGATTGGAGCCGGGAGCAATCTTTGTCTGTCATCCCATATATAAGTTAGCGATCTGTGGTAAACTGTAAAGTGACTAAAATAGCATCATGGCCAGCTGCTCAACGGGCAACTGAGAGGATTTTGGGTTGCATATCGCGAATTTCAAATCAGAACATCCTTCACCGAAAGCAAGATGACTCCTTTCGCGCCATCTCATGCACCTCGACAGATGATCAATCAGTGTCTCTGCGCAATGCCACGATATCGGCGCTGTTTATGTTTCACTCTGCATTGGTGGCTGAACCTTGCAGCGCGCACAAGCTTCAACCCCGGATTTGGGATTTCAATCCATCAATCCACAGGCCTGGTCTCGACATGAGTTCCGATCCTGGGCCTCTAGTTGCGAGCAAGCCCATGGCGCTTACTTGCAAGCATTATTCGAGCATGATCAAGTAGTAACTATATTCTCTTTGATATCGTTGGTGCTTTGCTGCTCGCTGATCTCCAGTTTCTGACTGGAGGGGAACGACGAAGCGTGGTTTCCCATGGCCACTTGGGCTCTGCAGGCGCAGCATTGCGATTTCGCCGGTTGCAGAGACGCTGTGCTTTCTGAGATGCACCGGGACCCGTCTGGAGCATTCGTCTGACTGGCCGCATTTGCTTTTTGGGGGAGCATGCAGTGACTGCGCTGTCCCTCTCCCGCTTCTCTGGTGAAGGTGAAGCCTTCCCGACCCCCTCCTCCTTTGCACCCAGAGGTTGGTGGCAGGATGGCATATATGCTGCTTTCCCGCACCGTCTCATTCTTCATGTCACTCTCTGAAAAGCTAGCTGGATTACTTTCTATCTCACGATTCTCTTCGCAATTCTAACGAAGCGGGAATTTCGACCTAGCCCACCATTGCCTTATATTGACAAGATGGCTCTACCCAAACCTTCCAGCCCCCTTCCAAGAGTGCTGGTTCCGGAAAAGCTGTCTCCAGATGGCCTAACACTTCTTCGAGCCAATGCGGACGTTGACGAAAGAAGAGGGCTCCCACCTGATGAGCTGCTAAAGATCATACCAGACTATGATGCCCTGGTGGTTCGTTCAGAGACGAAAGTAACACACGAGGTCCTGCAGGCGGCAAAGAACCTGAGGGTTGTTGCGAGAGCAGGAGTGGGAGTAGATAATGTTGGTAAGTCCAGTTGCTTAAACTATCAATTCCATTATGTAGGTAATTACTGATACGCAATTCATTAGATGTTGACACTGCTACAAAGCTTGGGATCGTGGTGGTGAATTCTCCATCTGGGAACATTGGCGCAGCCGCAGAGCATACAATTGCATTGATGCTATCCATGGCTAGGAAAATTCCCCATGCCTGCTCTAGCCTCAAGGAGGGCAAGTGGGAAAGAAGCAAGTTTGTCGGCGTTGAGGTCAAAGGGAAAACTTTGGGAATTATTGGGCTTGGAAAAGGTACGAAACCCATAACTAGTTATGCGTCTTGACTATGGAGAGTTTCTAATGACACGGTTCTCAATAGTGGGTATGATTGTTGCTAGATTGGCCAAAGGGCTTGGAATGAACGTAAATGCCCTGGACCCTTATGCTTCTGAGGCCGTGGCTGCTTCTGCGTCTGTTGTTTTAACATCCTCTCTCACTGAGCTGTTGCCAACCGTCCAACTTCCTTACGATCCACCACTCCACTAATTGCATCAACCAAGGGCATGGATATCCCATTGCCCGAGCTCGCGCAGATGAAACCCCGGTGCCCGGATACTCAATGTTGCTCGCGGAGGTACCCATTGATGAAAGTTGCCTTGCTGGAGGCTCTTGAATCCGGGCATATCGCAGGTGCTGGTATAGATGTGTTCACTTCAGAGCCGCCGACCCAAGATTCATTTGCCGCCAACCTTATCGCACATCCCAATGTGGTTGCCACTCCTCATCTCGGTGCCTCAACCATAGAAGCACAGGAAAACGTTTCGATTGACGTTTGTGAACAGGTACTCCAAATTCTAGGGGGAGCACTTCCCCGTAGCGCTGTCAATGCTCCGTTGATTCTTCCGGACGAATATAAAAGGCTGGAACCGTTCGTCCGCCTAGTGGAAAAGATGGGCAGTTTATATACCCAGCACTACAGTTCATCCACTTCTTTTGACGCCAATCGGAACGCATTTGATCTAATATATGAAGGCGAACTTTCCGGTGTGAACAACACGAAGCCACTTTTTGCTGCTCTAGTGAAGGGCCTCGTGAGCCCTATCAGCAGTACGAATGTAAGCATCGTCAATGCCGAATTCGTGGCCCGGGAGCGGGGCATTGTGATAAACGAAAAACATTCTCGTGATCCTTCTACCCATTCGTACTCCTCCCTAGTCACTCTCGTGGCCAGGCCACCTTCTCGAGCACCATCCAGAGCACCTGGAGCTCCAGAAGCTCAAAGACCTCGCCATAACCCACATCAGCAAATAATCTCCGGAACCTGTTCTGGTTCCCAGATTGTTATATCACGTCTTGGCCGCTTCGCTACATCTTTTGTTCCGGAGGGCAGGCTTCTGATCTGCCACAACTATGACTCACCAGGGAAAATTGGAGTTGTGGGAAGTATTCTCGGCAAGGGGGGTGTTAATATAAATTTCATGAGTGTGGCCCCAGTGTCGAAAAAGTTGCTTGAAGAGGATGCGGCCAGGGAACAAGGTCAAAAGTTGTATGATCATAGTGGGAACGGCACCAATACAGAGGCTTTGATGATTCTTGGTGTCGATAGACCCGTTAGTCAAGATATTGTTACGACGTTGGTCAATGCTGGAGGCGTCTTGAGCGCGAGTTTGGCATCGCTCTAGAGGGATGGGAACGTCATGCGTATTTACTACATATAGTTACAGGTGATCAGTTTGCGAGATACCGCTGATCGGTCATGTATGAAGACCAACGAGAACTGTGATTGATGACGAACGGCATGAAGATAAATATAATTATCGCAACTTGTATTTCAATTTTTTCCCTGAATTTACTAGCTATGCTTTCCTTTCAGCCCTCTCACCTCCATGTTCATGTCACTTCAACATATCATTGACAGGCTGATAGCGGACATATCAACTTCAAATCAATATCTAACACAATCCGGTAAAGTACCTGGCATCATTTCCGACAAACATCCAGATCCTGTAGAACTGGTAGGTCATATATATCAAAAATTGGACATGCCTCGAAAACATCATGTTTTCATCATGACAAATATTCATCAAACGGCTTTAGCGCATTGGGCTGCCACCAAAGGTTATCCCCTTCGTTCCCCCAAAACTTCCGTTACTCGGCGTCAAGGCCGTAGATCTTCGGAACGCCGGCCGGGGAGTTGAGGGGGTGCTTCCGCTGATACTTCCATTCGAACTTCCACCTCCAGCCGGAACACCAGCCGCCGACACGGCTGTTGATGCCGAAACCGGAATAATAAAATCCGGTGTATTCCTTCCACTATGTGGAAGGCGGGATGCAGTCGCTGAAATAGGGGTAGAGAGGCCATTTGGGTTTGCCCCGTTGCTGTTGTTATTGTTGTTATTGGCATTAGGTGTGGTTGAGCGTCGAGGCGGCGGACGGAAACCAACTTTGACGCCTTCGCGGAAGATCTCTTCCAGAACTTGGTTAACTATACCTGCATCTTCGTATTCTTTGAATTTCTTCCAAAGACGAAGAGCCATGCGCGCATCTTCGATCGAGTCGTGCCCTTCTGGTGGTGTTGTTGTTGTTGTAGTCGTGGTCGTGGTAGTAGTAGTTGAGTTAGCCGCTTCAGCGGCGTTGGGGTTTGTCGTGGTACTAGTGACTGATGTTGAGGTTGTGGTTTCCTCCTGGATGTATTCTTTAAATACCGCCCAGGCAAGATAGCGCAGACTGAGCCGACGACTTTTCTCCGGATGGAAAAATAAATACTGGGTATCAATTGTCTGGTTTTTAGGAACTTGTATATTGATTTTCCTGAAGTCGGATGCCAACCCGTGGCCAACAAAAACGCAGCCCAGGTTTAATAGAAGCCAGAGCTTCTTATACGCTACTTTCAGAGCGACAAGATTATGCCGGCTAGTTCGTGGGTCGAGATCTCCTGGCTTGATTCCAGAGTACTGGGTTACATAATCGACAATCGGGTCCTTGATTGTGATATAGTCGTCGATGAACGGAACGCCTTCGTCATTTCCGGAACCTCTAATAACGGAGACACGGGCCAGGCCGCTTTTGCTGGGCCTGATCATTTCTTGGGTGCCGTCCGCTTTCACTTCGATCTCTGCTTTCTCGAGATCTACGAATTCGGTATCGAGAGCGATTGGTGTACCCGCGACAGGCTTTTCTTCCGACTTGAGAATTTGGCACTTGTCGGTTGGTCGGCGGTTGCTGTACGGCTGTTAGCACTATGAGATGCGCGTATTTAATGAAATTTTCCTTACTTCAAAGACCACTCATAATACAGAAGAGTAGTATCCAACTCCTTTTTCCAGCTGTCGTCTAGGCCGTGTCGACCAGTAGATATCTGATAGGCAATCGTGCAGGGAGATTTCCAGGTCTGATTGAACGAAAACACCTCTTCTTTGCTCACCTCGGCAACCAAAAAATCATTAAAAAGATGCCAGCTACTCTTCTTGGTTGGCTCACGAGCAGAGATAGAGGTGTCGATGAACGAGACCAGATGCGGTTTCTTCTGCTCCACGACATCGATCTCTACCACTAAACCGACTAGCTCATATACCACCAAGCCTTCGAAATTATTTTGTTGGCGGATTCGCAGCTGATCTCCTTCGTAACACTGAATTTGGTTGTCTTCAATCATAACCCCAATTTTCTCCGGTAGCCAGCCTGGAATAGACCAAAATCTGCGGTACATGGGGTTAGTGATGGCTGCGTTGAGCATCAAAACCAACGGCATTCGTTGTACTGTTTTTCGGATAGAAACTTGCTGATATCGGCGACACGTGCTGCACCAACCTCGATTTTGGGTTTCGCGTTCAATGCTTGAGCGAAGAATGTTTGAGAATCGACAAGCCGGGTTGCGAAGTCCTTGTTTAGGGTCGACAGGTGGGTAAATTAGTTCCGTCACAAAAGCGTTCCCGGCGCGGACAATTTCATTGCGACAAAACATGCAACATATAGACTCAACAGCAGCAGTACTTAAATTGTGGTCTAAAACATCCGAATTCGGGTATATCGTCCGATAATCATGGGATATCTGATTGAGAAAAAATCGGTGAACTGATTGAATCGTTGTCGACAACGACTTGTTGCTCAAACTCTCTTCCAGTAGGCCCAAGTTTGCAGCTTCTCTGAAACTGCTGAAGGTCTTCAAAAGGTTAGTAGCTTGGCAGTTTTGTCCCTGCGCTTTATCAAGCATGTCAAATAAAAAGCCCATTTCACAGAGGAGACAATTTTCACAAAGGCAGTTGGTCGAAACATGATGAAGGGCCAGATTTCTGACTAGTGGAATGAATTTGAGAAGCTGGAGGAGAGAGTTTGTAAATGAATTCGCGATGTGCGTTTCAAGGCCCGAGAATTTGGTTTTGTTGTAATATCTGTCCAGAAGATCAGCTTTGATGATAACAAATGTACTAAACGCAAACGTACCTGAAATCAAAATCATCGACTCCAAATTTGCTGTATTTAATTTCCACATTACTGTATTTTAGGAGTGGATCTTCTTTCATTTCACCGTTGATTTTCAACCCTTGCAGAGCGCCAACAGCTTCCTGTGCAGCTTCGGGCTTAGAACTAGGAGCCTCTCTCGCTTTCTCACTCAAGAATTTTGGTGCCGCTAAAGCAATCTCCGTGCTGAACTGCATACGAGTATTTTCTACCTGGTACCTCCGTTTCTTGCGTGGATTTGGTGCATATTGACCGAGTTCATTGGCTCTGAGATAGGGGAGGATAGATGGATCAATGGGCGGCGGGGAATTTCCAAGTTCAAAGACTAAGTGGCTCGGCCAAGCTGAGAGAAGACGGTCATGATAGTATGGCATACCAATAACATTGAGGGGTGTATCATTGGACCAATCGAGTATCGAGGAGCGTGCGGCGACGTCGGCGAATTCGGTGTCTTTGCTAAGTTCGTTGAAATGAATTTTTGACGGAGAACCCCAAAGGTGAATAGAACATTCAGCATCAATGATAGCCAGTGCCTCTCCGGAGGGTGATATTTCGAGGCCAAGCATAAACGCGACGTTTGCCTGGCGGAGATTGATCGTATTTGGATTCATGAGATCAACGACCTGCAGTTGGCCAGTTTGCGAAGCGATGAAACTGGTAGTTTGCAATCTCGGATGCATCCGCACAAAAGCTGCACCCGCATGAAACGGAATTGGCGGCAGAGGCATGAGGGTTTTCAGATCATAGACATTAGCAAGAGGATCCACGATGGGCGACCCAAGGTGACGGACGGAAAAACCGCAAGTCACGAGAAAGTCGTTCCGAGCATCCATATCATTTATCACAGCTCCATGGGCCTTCCAGCTCTTGACAACAGTGAAATCTGACAGGCTCAAGGCATTTACGGAACCGGTATCGGTGGCGGCGCATAGGTATCTGCTCTTCTTCATGATCGTATAGCGGTAATCCGTCGATAATTGATCCACAATGGTTCCCTTTTCAATATCAATAATGTACATCGCAGGTTGTAGACCAGCAACGATGATTTTGTGCGGCTGTGCCGTAAAACTCATGCATCGCAATTCGGTCATCTCCGGGTGCGAAATATGCCATTGTGTCAACCCACGGCGCGAAATCAGATGAACGCTTTTTGATGATAGCGAAATTACGCCTCTGTCGTGAAAAAGAAACTGCCGGACGGGGCCTTCGGAGGGATGGGCCTTTACGGAGGTATACCGTTGTAGCTCTGGGCCGTAGAACGACATCACTCGACCCTGAAATTATCCAGCCATCAGAAGCTGCAAGAACCAAGCATGATGCTGCATGGGCACCAATGTCAAAGCGGCAATAGAAACAAAAGCTCAAAGCAACTCACAAAGTCGTTCCCCACCCATAGTAGCTCTTGTGAATCGTCGAAAGCTATGGTGGATGCGACAGTAGGTAGGATATGTGGTCCCGGAGGGGGGACAGCGATTTGCGAGACTTCATCCCAGTCTGCTTCCATTGCGCACGCTGATAGTGGGTGAAGAGTTTGCTCTGATGAAGCGCCGCCAGCTGGAGTGAAGCTATGGGTTGCAGATGGTCCTCTCCAGATGCACGAGTTGGTCACGAATTGGCTACCCGTATGGGAAAGGACCGCACGAGAGCATCATTTTCAGCAGATGGAATATCTCAGTCGAGCTGGAGCTGTTAGTGCAGATTGTCGGGTTGTGCAGTTGGTGGCAGGTAGATCCAGTCGGACAAGCAACATCCCACCTCACAAGGGACCAGGTCGCTGCGTCAAGATGATGTCAAGCCAGACAGGGTCAAAACATCGTGTTGTCCAGAAATATCCAAATGCACCCGTGGCTCCAAAGGTTCTGATGGACAGGCCCAACACCCGGCAAAGTTCGCGCTGTCAGCAGGTGTTGCCTGAAGCCAACCGCACACTGCTGCCGGCGGAAGAGAGATGGGAAGTTGAAACTCTTCACTAGGATGCATCCGGCCGTCACATGACCGGCGAGGAGATCCTCAACAGTTATGATAGATTTGCCATCAGGAAGAACAGCCCTGGACGACCTGCGTTTGCTCTGTGAATAAGTCACGGCTGTCTCCATTAACTAGTTAACCAAGCCAGCTTTGGGCATCGGTTGATTCCTCACAGTTCATCGTGCTGCAACGCCCCTCACTCTAACAATGGTTCCATGACGAGACTCACTTCCTCCTCCTTCGGCAATGCAGATATAGCCTATTCCTTGTCAATACCCTGCTTCTCCCCGTGACTACACCCGTCATCCGGTTGCCAGTATCTTCAAATTCATTAGACTGTCCTCGAAGGGCCGCTTATATCTGCCGGAGCGCCTTTTTTTTCGCGCATCCCCCTCGCGCTCAGTTTTACCCCTCATCGCTGCCTCCAGTCATCCCACCAGCCGGCACGATCGTCCCAACCATGGACGGGCACCATGACGACCCCGATCGGGCGCTTGATAACTCAGACGGCAGCCCCTCGCAAGCAAGCCTATCCTCCTACTCTTTTCCTGATGACCGACTGAAGAAGGTCATGGACGACCAGGAAAAGACGCCATTGCTCCTGGTCGCGTGTGGCTCGTTCTCTCCTATTACCTATCTTCATCTCCGCATGTTCGAAATGGCGGCGGATTATGTGAAATTTAGCACGAAATTCGAACTCATTGGCGGCTATTTATCGCCTGTGTCGGATGCATATCGGAAAGCTGGTCTTGCCAGTGCTCGACATAGGTATGGACCCGGCTTTTCAACACTAATCTCTCGTGTTCGATTGCGCGCTTCACTGGGCATGAGTAGCTCTTGTTCCTAGGATTCGCAAGCTGACTTTATTCATTAGGATTGCCATGTGCCGATTGGCGGTGGATAAGACATCAAATTGGCTAATGGTTGACCCTTGGGAGGCTTTACAAAAAGAATACAGTCCTACTGCAAAGGTCTTGGACCATTTTGATCACGAAATCAACACAGTCCGCGGTGGAATAGACGTTGGCAATGGGACTCGCAAGCCGGTGCGAATTGCTTTGTTGGCTGGAGCAGATCTCATTCACACCATGTCTACACCTGGTGTTTGGAGCGAGGAAGATTTAGATCATATCCTTGGGCGTTACGGCGTAAGTGTGCTCTCCACATTGAACATGTTAGCCTGCTAACGCCTCCTCGATAACCAGACATTCATCGTGGAACGCAGCGGCACAGACATAGACGAAGCCATCGCTGGTCTACAACCTTGGAAGGATAATATCTACGTTATTCAACAGCTCATACAAAACGACGTGAGCAGTACCAAAATACGACTATTCCTTCGTCGTGAGATGAGCGTTCGGTATCTGATTCCCGGGCCGGTCATCAGTTATATTGAAAAGCATAATTTATATGAAGAAGATGGTGTTGCGAGTGTCTCTTCGAACGCCGTCGATAAAGGGGCAACCAAACACCACACTTCCGAAGCCAAGGCTTCAGCTTTCGACTGAGAGCCACACCCACCACTATCTCCATATTCTAAATACCGGCAGAAACAGGCTGCCGCGACTATGATATTTCGCAGTTTATGCGCCTCAGGCATGCAGGAAGTCCCGAACGGTGCTCCTTGATTTTACATCGTCTATCTTATTTCGATCCGATGGGCAATGGTTGGCTATTTACGACAGTCCAACCTCGCTGCAACGAAGAGCACCTGCTAGCGTCCATCATTTCGCAGAATCCGGTTTGGCTGGATTGGAAAATTCGGAAGCACAATAGAGCACAGCCCTAGAGAACACCGCGTTCAAATCAAACCCTTGCACTACTTACGGAATCGGTGATAGATCTTTTTTACACTGGCGCTGCGAAGCTGTGGAGGCGACCGTTATGGTCTCATGTTTCACTAGTGTCTGTTTCGCTCCAGGCTTTTGGGAATCCCAGCGACAGGCGTATTTTCTCATGATATGTACATAATACTACCTTTGCCTCAATTATGGCCCGCCCGTTGAGTGTCCTCGCTGCCATGGTCCGTTTTCGTCCCAACCTAGATCCATCCTCGTATGTCGTCATGCACGATAACACAGCGCCGTCTCCGCCCAGCATCCCGACTGTTCTTCCAATTCATTCTGTCTTGATCCCAGCGCGGATCTGCTTCCTGTATCCACCAGCTTAGCTAAGCCCAACAGTGTGCCTGTAAATCTCTGTTAGTGTGATCAAATTGGCGACAAAGAGTCGAGTCAATTGCTTCTGTCTGCCTGGGTTTTCCATCAAGGGTCCCGTTTACATCTGAATTCGTTCGAACCTGGTGGGCGTGGCTCGAGGTTCCTGACCGTGTATTAGTCTATAACCCAGAGGTGAGTTCCGTCCCCCGGTTCCGCTCCCATTCCCCCCCGCCTCCCGTTACCGCCCCTCCCCCGCGATGTGAACGCGGAGTGTTGGGAATCAACACCAACATGCAATTTTGCAGTTTAGCCCTCGGGGAGGTGGCCATGCCGTTTGCTTCAGTGTTTTTGAGTATTGAACGAAATCTACGGAGGTTGTTTCTTTACTTTGAACAGTAGCAACTACGTCACAGTATACAAATGTTCACCATGACCAGCATTGAACTCAGCCAACTTACGGGATATCTCTCTATTCATTAGGATAACTAGAAATATCAGAAACCACCGCGAAGATGGGCTCTCATGAAGTTTTGCCGGCTATGAAAACAAACCCGAAGATCATCTTCTTCACAGACTTTGACGGGACTATTACTCTGCAAGATAGTATGCAGCTTCCATTACCATACTTTTTGCCCTCTCGGATTTATGCTAATGAGGCTATCCTGCAGGCAATGATTATATGGTACGCCGGTCCTACCCATTATTCTCTGCTTCTCAATATCGGATAACTGTTGTCGGAACGACTGGGCTTACCGTGATGTCCCGAGACACATATAGACAGATAATCTTGGTTATGGGAAAGAGAAACGCCGCGCAGGAAACTATGCCATCCTGGATGGCACAATAACCTTCCGGTATGTCTCGCCCATTTGCCATTCTTAGTCAACCGCAAAGCCATTTGGGTCGCTAACCTTGGGAAACAGTGATGCTTTCCGTGACATGCTCGACAGCGTCAAAAACCCATTCGACGAGTGTATCCGCATCCTCTGCGATAACATGCAACTAGACCCTTACTTTGCAGAGTTCTACAACTGGGCTAAAGACCATAATGTCCCCATCGTAATCCTATCCTCCGGAATGGTTCCCGTCATTCACGCATTGCTCGTGAAGCTTCTAGGCCATGAGCCAGATCATATCCAGATCGTTGCCAACCAGGTGAAGGCACGGCCAGGAAAGAATATTAATGAAGAAAATGGCTGGGAAATTGAATACCATGACGATAGGTACTGACTCTTTCTCTGCTTGTGGGTTTTAATCATGGTTTCGAGGATAATCATCCTAACTGAGTCGCTGCTTTGCTTTCCCAGTCACTTTGGCCATGACAAGTCTATTGAGATCAAGCCATACGCCGCTCTATCAAGCGATGAGCGCCCCACACTGCTCTATGCGGGAGACGGTGTTTCGGACCTCTCGGCGGCATCCCAAACAGATTTGCTTTTTGCGAAGAAGGGGCGTGGTAAGTAGTCGATTGGTTACGGTAACTATCACTTAATCATGCTGCTAATCAAGGCATAGATCTCATCACGTTTTGCGAACGTGAAAAACTCCCTTTCACCATCTTCGAAGACTGGTCTTCTATTCTTGAAAAGACCAAGGAAATCTACGAGGGCAAGACGAATCCAAAGGTTATTGCTGAGCAGCAGCTGCAGGGGGCCTAGGTGGGTAGCCGCCTTGCCACCGTGGATTGCACTTTGACACGTTATCTCTTATTATTAGAGAACAATCTTTTCGATTATTAGTTGATACGATACAGGGAGCCTAGAAGATACCATGTTTAGATCTTACTATAGATAAAGTGTAGTTTGATAGACCGGTATTTGATATAGAATTACCTCTTATAAAAGCTGAGGACATATTAACAGGGCTGTGCGGGTATTAATGCATCTAGTTAAGGTGATTGTAGTCCAATTCATTATCCACTGAACTTAAGCAATGGTTAAAACGTGTCATTTGCTCCGTACAGTGTACTCAATGCCGTGTTAACACAGATACTCGAGAATACCAGAGTCTTCTCGTGGAGTTCCTTTGATTGCCACTCTAAAATACATAACTACAGACTGGTATTATATATAACCAAACTTCAAATACACCATAAAAGGTAAATATTTTCGAAGACCAAATCCTGGGCGATTTAAATGACCCGGATGGCCTAAAATGCTATTTAAATATCCTGCGATCGCATCTATGCATAGCGATGGATGGCATTCCCGTTTCCAAAACAACATATATATCGTCGTAAAGGGAGAAGGAACCAATTATGCTCTCCCGTTCCCACTTGTACCTGCCTTGACAGCATCTAAAATCATATCTTTGGCGATTTCCAAGTTCTCCTTTGAGCCCTTGATTTCTATGGCTTCGCCGCGTGCTTGGTCCTTGGGCACATTGATCCTGCAGCCAGTGCGTTTTCGAATGGCGTTAATCTGGCTACCACCAGGTCCAATCACGAATCGATAAGTCTTGGGATCTGGAAGAATCAAATACCCTGTGGCTGATGGTTGCGAAGCTGACGCCATGGCTTTCTCCAAAATTGCCTTTGCTTTGGCAACGTTTTCTGGCTTGCCAGAAAGAACCCATGGAATAGTCCCGGAAGGTGCATCCCCATTGCTGGAAACAACGACTTTCCAGGAGAAAGAGTCAATAGAGGCCGCAGGATCATCAGTAATCAGGGGTAGTGAGCCAGTATCATTCGCACCCCGAGATTCCGATGGACTTGAACGTGAAGGGATTTGTTCTCCGGCATGATCAACGGTAACCTGGTGATCATTCCGCAAGCGGCGAAAGAAGGCTCCGTTTTCTGAAATTATATGGTGGAGATTGCGAGGTACATTCACCGTCTCACCTTGCTGCTCTTTCAGCATGGCTAGTATATGGCACTTCGCATTCTCCACAGAACTAGACGGTCCTCTGATTTTGACATCAGTCCGATTAGATCCTTGTTTAGGAACATCCAGAACGATGTTGAATTGTCCTTCTAATTGACGTCGGGTATCTCCTCCCCGTCCGATGAGATGGCGGTGCTGGGACTGGGGAACATCAAAAGACGTGACGACTTCATCCTCCTTTTGTCGAACAAACTCTTCGATTGCAGCAATGATTTTGGTAATAACGGTTTCATGGCCCTCTAAGCGTATACTTGAATCATCGCTCTCAGGACGAGGAAACTTGACCATTCGGGCCGCAGTTCCATCCTCCGGCCCGCCACATTCGACGACAATCTTTCGGATGTTAGAACCTAGTTACAATGCATTAGTTTCCATCCGTACAGTCCAATATGAATGCGATTAGCACTTACCACCACTGCCAATAAGGGACTTGTGATGCTTCTTGTCAACATCGATTGTTTTTGTCACAGTTTCATCAAATTCCTTGGCACGCTGCAAAAGAAGTTTTTGTGCATCCTCCACTTGCTTCTTGGTACCTTTGAGTTTGATCTCAACTCGCCCAGAAGCATTGATAGAATCGTTCATTGAGGGAACGTCGATTTGCGCACCGGTTTCTGTACGAAGTTTGTCCATTTCACGGCCACGTTGGCCGATCAAGGATGGAACTTGACTTTGGGAAACTGATACAGAAGCTGTGAAAGAGTGGTCCGCAACCCATCGATACAAATTGAGTATCTCTTCTCTTGCCTCATCAGCACCTTTACGAGGTCCTCGAATGACCACCTCATCAGGCGCTTGGGCGGTACGAGTGTTTCGCACGCTGCCAACTTCACTGGCAGCATCGTTGGTAGGCTCGTCCTGGTTCGCCGTCCTGGGAAATTGAACACGCACATTGTATCGGTCTTGTAGTCGATTAACTTGACTACCTTTTTGCCCGATCAAGTCTCGGTGATATTGAGGCGCAATCTTGAGAACATAGGTTGTTTCATCCTCTAATTTCTTTGCGAGGGCAAGAATCCGTGATTTGGCAGCAAGGGCCTTGTTTGGCGGTCCCTTGACCTCAACTTTGCCGTTCTCGACTTTGATATTAACATCAAACTCGTCTCGAAGCTTGTTGATATTTTCTCCCTTCTTCCCAATAAGGACATTGGCAAATTTCTGGGGGAAGTCAAAGAGTATCTTGTTATCTCGCTCCTTTTCATCGCGTTCCTGCTCTTGCACAAAGGCAACAATTTTGGGTACGAGTTGTTGAACATCATTCGACCGTCCGCGGAGTATAACCTGCTGATCAGCAAGGACAACGCGGACCGGAATCTGATCTTCCCCCTTTGCACTTTGATCACGTGCTACAAATTTCCGCAATTTTTCATGGAATCTAAGTAAGGGTTAGCAGAGCATCCCGCGAACGGCTTGCGGGACCACTCACTTTGAAGGAACAGGAACAGAGTTTGAGACGATATCACTCTGGTCACCCAGAGCGGAGAGAAGATAGTTTTGAGCCTCCTTCAGCGCGTTTTGAAAAGCTGCAATTTCTTCGGCGGATGGGCGCTGCCGTGGAGTTTCAGCCTGGTTAATGCCTTCGCAAACAAGCAAAACATCGGAGTTTTCTGATTCGTCTGGCACGACCAAGTGGACTCCATAACTTTGCTTCAGCTGCGGAGCACTGCGAGAACGAAGGAAATCATGATAGTATGGATCCAAAGGCATGATGGCAAGCTTAGATGGCGGGTGAGCTTGTACCAGATTCAGAATATCGGACCGCGCGCGGATTGTGTTTTTTCCATCCCTGGAATAAACCTCCCAGACGACTGGTCCGTCCGACGACAGCAATGGCAAGACGATGTGAGCGTCGTGCATCCTTTCGAGCTCTTTAATAATCTGGCGTTGTTGCAAATACCTTGTGAGTGCACGGGCATAAGCATGCGGTCCAGTTGGAGCATTGGGATGTTGGCGAGAGAGATCGATACTAGCCATTTGCATGCTCGTGGCCAGGTCCATCACCCGGTTAACTCCAATCTCGATTTGCTCAGGAGGCCCAGTGACTGTTAAGAACTCCGTTTCATCGAATGGTGGAGGGAGGATCACTGAGCAGCCTGTTTCAGCCAAGAAGTCATGTAAGGAGTGTCCTTTGTTTCCAATAATAAATTGGTGCTGCCCACGGTTGATAGCTAGGTGCCGAAGGGCGATCCGGCGCTGAAGTTCCTGTGCGCGTCTTTCAATCTCAGCACGCGCCTCCTGTGCACCCGTGCGGTCACCGAAAACATGGATATGGCGATCTGGGTCGGGAACAAATTGAATTTGGCCTAGAGGCGCCTCCTGGGGCGGTGGCCTCTTTGACCAGGTGTCATAACGGGGAACTCGGATCTGAGTCTTTGTGCGCTCCTCTAAATCGTTTAGATCCGAATTGTGTGCTCCGGCAATGAATGGGAATAATTCAGGGGGAATGCTTTTCAATTTAAGGTTGATATTGGAGGTTCGTTCCTTGACTATTGCCTCAATTTCACGCCTTGCCATTTCAGCAGCTACTGCATCACCCTCAATCGTGACGTCGATCGTATTGCTATCGTCGTCTTCATCTTGAACACTAGAATCGCTCAGCTTAGGTACTTGGATTCGAGCTCCGGTTCGCTCATGGATTCCTTGTACTACGGCTCCCTGGCGACCAATAATATGGGCCCGGGCAGATGCTGGAACAGGAACACAAACGGATTGCTATACAAGACAGTCAGCGAAGGATACCAAAAATGAGCCGTTGTGAAAAGAGCAACCTTTGAGCCAACTTGCTGGGCAACCTCCTTCAGCGCTTGGCGGACGGCATCAACTGTGCCCGTTCCTTCGAAGATATAGGAGCCACCAGGGCCCTCGCGAACATCTAGTCGGGCCTTAGATTTCCGGCTTATCTCCCTTACAATATCAGATAGAGGTTTGCTCAGCTCGCTCCGCGCTAGCATTTGCGATGGTGCAAAACGGATTTGCTCGACATGCTTGCCGGGCATCGCTAATCTTGGGCCTCCAAGAGAGGTTGCAACATTAGCAGGTACCGGAGTAGCATTGCCAGAAGCGGGGGCCGATGTGCGAGAGGTAAAGTTATTCCTTGATCCTCCATTAGACAGTGCGGTTGGCGGAGTGGCTGCTTTGCGACCGTCCCATGCCATTGGCATCGCCGAAGGTACACGAGGCTTCGTTCCACTTCCGAGGGATGGGAAGAGCTCCTCAGACTGCACGTCGAAGGGCACGGTCTTGGGCTTCGGCGCCTCGGATTTCTCCGCCACGACTTTCGAGTCTGCCTTCATTGCCGCTGAAGATGGCGGTGGGTGGAGGATGTCTTGCTCATCCTCAACTGCTTCGACTGTCGGCTGGTGGGCTTCATCACGTGCATGCTTTTCCTGGAGAAGCTCAGCGGGCGACTTGGACAATGCGGCCGATGAGCCGCCGTTCACAATCAGTCCGGGCTGTTCGGAGGCCATTCCGGGTACGAGAGTATGCCGAAATTCGTGGTTGCAAAGCGAGGCAGTTAGAAGCAAGAACAAAGGTCACGCCGGTCGACAGGCCAAAGCACGCTCTGGTTGAAGTCAATTGGACAGAATTAAGAGGACTTGAGCGCTGAAGTTAATAAAAGCGCCGGCGGAATATTGAAGACACGGCCAGATCGTTAATATCCGGCTTGATTGAAGGTCAGAGGTAGTGCAGCGGGAATCTATGAGCAGGGCCGTTGACAGTCGAAGGAGGTGGGTTTTGGGGAAGTAAAGGGGGAATTGACCCGTCAGTCCATTACAACGAAGAGAAGAAGGAGAATAAAAAGGAAGTAAAAATGTAAACAGAGAAGGGAAATAGGGAAAGCAGATTGAGAATGAATCCCAGTGTCGTCACGATGTCGTGAGAACGAAACTTTTTTTCTTTTTGGTGGGAAGAAGCTGGAGGAGAGGGAGAGGCAACGTTGCAGTTCGCCAGTGAGCCAGACTCGAGTCAGTTTAGCGCCTCGATCCAACACTCGGCCCTCGAGGAAGCTTCAAGCAGAGCCTTATAAAATCACGTCGACTTGAGAGAGTCACCGTATGGGTTACTGACAATTCTTACCGAGTCGCAGAAGCCGGTGAATATAGCCTTTGTGTTTTCGGCCCGCAAGTTTTATCAAACGAGATCAGACGAAACGTCCGGCACAACATTTTCTAACCTCAGGTAGCTACCCGTTGCTGAAGCGTCAGACAATAAATAGATAATCGCCCCAATCTATAAATGGCACGGCCCGAAATTTATTTATGGTCCTACAGAGCACTTCGACCTCGATGCATTATTCTTGAAAAGCAATGCAGATAAACATCGTTTGGGGCACGGTGGAAATGCACCCCCAAGACGTGTGGAGAGATGATAGTCAGCAGCAAATACTTTTCATTCATGTTGTACCGACCCTTCTTCCGTCCAAACTCAGGCCTGTTTCGAAAGAAGCGCCCTCCGGATACCGGTGTGATGCATGCGTTCTCCATCAGCAGCCATGCAATTTCAAGCCCGGCCCCCACGGACACCTGCAGTAGAGTGTTGCTGGCCGAGATAACTACGCGTTTCATGTCTCCGGAAAGGGAGGATGAGAACGCAAGACGAACGCAGAATAGAAGTCCGACACCAAGTTCCGTGTTACCCTCTAGACAAAAGTGTCAAAACAGTTGGGGGTCGTGAATATGCCAGGACATCACCACAGAAGACATTAGTTCTCATTGCTATGAAGCCATCCATATGGCGTAAATTCCGGTCATATCTTTTACTTTTCCATGCGTCAACAGGGCTGGCTCCGAGAGTATTAGGAGACCCCCATTCAACTAAACGGGAGAAGAGCTCTGTCACATCCACAGCATGAGATGTTGTGCCACTGGGATCGACAAGTTCCGCGGCCAAATTGGCAACGAAAAAGTGAATCAGTCCCTTATTATGTATCAAATCCAGCAATAAAACGGAGTTGATTGTTTTCGTGCTGCTCATTAAAAATGTGAAATTGAGGAATCTGTTGCACCGTTGACTCCGTCCAGCAAGGATATCTGAGCTCGCCAAGTCCTTGGGCTCTCTGTTCCCTGAAGAGTTTTTTTATATCCTTGAGCCATATGAGTTAGTTTGTCGACCCAGATGAACATACGTAACGCTATGGGAAGCCAGGAGCGTTTTTTTCCACGGGAGAACCTGGTCTAAGAAGGGCAAAATCACCACTAATAAGCTCCACAAATGGACCACACCCAAAAGCCCTATTATTCAACCAACTCCCATTTTCATTCCAGACCCTTCCAGTCTGTTTCCACTTAGAGGAGCAGTGTAATTTACAAGATACACCATCAACAAACAGATAGTGAGCTCCAACAGTGATGCTCTGAGGCAAGTGGTTCCCTCAGGATTTCGACAATGTTGTATACCCCGCAGAAAGGGTGGCTCAGTGAGTAACACCTGCATGGGAACCAGACAGTGTTAAAGAGTACACATTCCCATCCCGTAACATACAGGCAAGTAATAGTTACAGAGGATGTGGAAGACCAAGAGTGCAGTACAGAAACCATACATTGATACAGTGTTTGGGACGTGTAAAAAAAGCGACCACGCCCACCAATCAAAAGCAACAAACATTCAGTTTAGCGTGTAAAGTCGATACCGCCAGCAATGGTGTTGTCCTTTCTGAAACACTGCTGTATTGGGCCCTCCTCTGGTCTTTATTCCCCGCATCTCCCACTAAGTACGGAATTACGATCCACGTGTTACTGGTTCAACTTCAAGCAGTCCCAGGTTTCCAACCTAGCAAGTGAACCACAAACGTTGTCCATCCCACAGAATTTAATTGCTTTGTTCCCTTTTTAACTTCATCAAAGAGAAAGGAATCGTCTCTACAAGACTGCACAGCAGAAAAGAAAGGTCTGACGGCCAATCCGGGTTGCAGAGCCAAAGTGGCTTGACTTCCTTCATACAGGCCACTTTTCGTTGGGTCGTTTGCTGCCGTCTCCCTTGCGCCCAACCCGCCTCCTGATATCCGTTACCGTCAACCCACTGCTTCTCAGCGGCTGCATCCGTCCATTTCGTTGTGCTAGGGCTTGTCCCAGGGACATGGATTCAACAAAAGCTTCCTCTCTTCAACAGCCCAGGCGAACCTCCACCAAGCTGCTGAAGCAACCGCCGCCGCTGTCGTCGAGTTCCACCTGGTCGATTAAAAAGCAAGCCAGCAACAATTCCCTTCGAAGACATCCATCTGCTCCAATTTACCCGCGATCCCACATACCCTCTAACCGCGAGCACGCTCGAACGAAATCCGGCGGCTTTGGCTCCTCTACGTCCTCAATCGACCAGCACAGTGACCATAACTCACCCGGCGCGCAATACAACGAGTTTGGAAACTATTCATCGCCAAACTCCGCCCATAACACTGCCCGATCATCACTTAGCCTACAGAATTCGGATGAATTGATTGGCTCGCGCTTTGATACTCGCGGCATGCTGAACGCACTCGAATCCACCCAGATGCAGTCCTCTCAACGGCCCCCTCCCCTCCATAGCTATAATACCAGCCCGGATCCGCGAAGTACTCCAACTTTGAGAAATTCTGGCGTGTTCAATTCAAAGGAGCGACGTATGGATCCGCCTAGCCCGGATGGCACGATAATAGCGGCAAAGCGACATTCAGATGAAGGAACTACCGTAAAACCAGGCCTAGGCGGGAGGAAAAAGTCCGGGTTTTCAAACTTTGTGAATAGCATGCTTGGATCCCCCCGCAACATAAAGATATCAGCACCCGAAAATCCAGTTCATGTTACTCATGTTGGCTTCGACAATGAAACCGGCCAGTTCACGGTGAGACTAGCTCTGATTTTTATGCTTGAGCAGTCAAAAAATTCTCAGCGGAAATAAAACTAATATATATTCTTCCCCAGGGTCTACCGAAAGAATGGCAGATAATGCTTCAGGAGAGCGGAATCTCGAAGAAAGAACAAGAGGAGCATCCCCAGACCATGGTTGAGATCATGAAATTCTATGAGAAGAACACTTCGGGCAAAGATGATGATGGCGTATGGCACAAATTTGATCATGCAAAACCAGCTGATCTTCAGGATCATCAAGTAAATTCTAAGGCTTCTCCTGGCGGACTGAGTGTGGGCCCTTTTTCTCCGCTCACAGCACTTACCTCACCTCCTGCGAGCCCGAGATTCCCGCAAAATCATGAAGGTAGCTTTGAAAATCCCAGGGCGCCGCCGCCTATTCCCAAAGCTGCCTCAGCGACAAGTCCACTCTCCCCTGGCCCCTCACCTTCGGGCACCAATTGGGTTCCAAACCGCGCAGCGCCCAAAGCTCCGACTCCGGCAGCGAGTAACCTTGTGCCTGCTCGTCTCCCTCCTCAACCACCCGCACCCAAGGATAGTCGAACCGTCCCGGAAGCGCCTGTACACCCATTTGGCGTCCGACCGATCCCTGAAACGGAGCCACTGCCCCCACAGCCTCAGCGCAGCCGATCCAACTCGAATCAGACCATGACTGGTGTCGTCTCGCGGGTACCTCAGACCATGGTCACTTCACCTGTTCAATATCAGCAGTTGCAAGAACAAGCTAGCACGGCAGCGCATCAGGCTATTACCAGCAAACAACTAGAACGTACCCGTAGCCAACGCCAACAGCAACAGCAACAGCAAGCACGGTTAGCAGAACAATCAATTCAATCGCGACCACAGCAACAACAATCGGTTGATCAAATCCCGAGACCAGATCAACCAGGATTCGCAGCTCCAGTCCCGCAGCAATATGGGCTTACTGTCGACCCAGCCCAATATCCTCAGCAAGCACGCGCAGGCCCTTCGCCGAGGTCACGACAACGCGTTCGACAGAGCAACGGGATCGAAATCAGAAACCGTCTGCTTTCGATATGCACTGCTGGCGATCCCACTCGCAAATACAGAAACCTCAACAAAATTGGACAGGGTGCATCGGGTGGTGTCTTTACTGCGTATGAGAACGGCACTAACAAGTGTGTTGCTATAAAACAGATGAACCTAGAACTCCAACCAAAGAAGGACTTAATTATTAATGAAATCCTTGTGATGAAAGATAGCAGACACAAAAATATTGTTAATTTCATGGATAGTTTCCTGCATGGCGGCGATTTGTGGGTTGTGATGGAATATATGGAAGGTGGTAGCTTAACAGATGTTGTCACGTTTAATATCATGACTGAGGGTCAGATTGCTGCGGTTTGCCGAGAGGTACGTGAGAGCCAAAAAAGCTTGTTTGAAGGTCATGAGACTAACTAGTTGTTAGACGCTTAACGGGCTTCAGCATTTGCACTCAAAAGGTGTCATCCACCGTGACATCAAGTCTGACAACATCCTTTTATCACTGGAAGGGAATATCAAACTGAGTGCGTACTTCATCTCCTGTTTCTCATATTACTGGAGTTTTGCAAGCTAACATCACGTAGCCGACTTCGGGTTCTGTGCCCAGATAAATGAGTCACATAACAAACGCAACACCATGGTTGGAACGCCGTATTGGATGGCCCCTGAAGTTGTGACCCGAAAGGAATACGGTCGCAAGGTCGATATCTGGAGCCTGGGAATTATGGCAATTGAAATGATCGAAGGAGAGCCACCTTATCTTACCGAATCTCCCCTGAGGGCTCTTTACCTCATCGCGACCAATGGTACCCCAACTATCAAAGACGAACATACTTTATCTCCAGTCTTCAGGGATTTCTTGCATTTTGCGCTAAGGGTTGATCCTGAAAAAAGAGCTTCTGCTCATGATTTGCTTACGGTATGTGGAACCTAGTTCTTCACCCGTTGTGACAACCATACTCACCATTATCTTGCTTTTCAGCATTCTTTCATGTCACTTTGCGAGCCGTTACCGAGTCTTGCACCGCTTGTCAGGGCTGCACGAGCTAGCAGGGCGCAGGAGAAAGCTCAAAAGGGCGGCATCTGATCACCGCATTCAATTTGCAATTGACCAAGTACGCAGAGACCGTTTTCGGCTTAAAGATGTCAACGTCTTCATACGTTATACCCAAAATAAATCATGATTGCAATTGATCATGAGTTATAAATCGACGACCTTCATGCAGGCAACGCCGTTAGACAGCCTTCACTAACACGCACCCTCGCAATTCCTGTTTCAATGCCAACATCATTTACCGATACCCGCTATAGACTTTACCGACTCTAAATGTTTCGATGTGTTTGTTCCTGTCTATGATTATCAGTGCCTTGCCGCTTCGTTGCTGGGCTTGGAGCAGTTTCGAAAGGAGAAAAAATAAAAAATGTTTCCAATTGCCACTCCTACATATCATAGCTTCTTGCTTCTCCCACCTTTACTCTTCTCGGGTGTCCGTTTTGTTCAGTGACCAGGCGTTTACGGTGTTCTCAGCTTCTGACCGATGGTGGATGGTTATATTTACCGGATTAGGAGCGCCTCTATGAGGGAACTTTGCATCTACTTTCTATGCCTTCTATGTCCACGCTCTGACTTTTCATTTCGTTTCCCCTCTCCTACGGTGATATGCGATATGTGGAATCTCGTGAACTACTGCATTTTTCCATCCCATCCCCATGCTTTTAGTCCTTTACACCATATTACGTTTTGATACCGTTATCTTTGAATGATTTAAAATGTCTTCCCGATATCGAGACATCACATCTGCCACAGTTATTTCCGACGCTATGGGAGGCACAAGGTATACGATGTGCCAGGTGCTGTGTATGCTTAGTTTTATTGTTGCACGCCAACTCTACCCCGAGTTTTATGACTTACTTTGTTCATTATAAGGTGACTAGATCGCAAGAAATTCAAGCTACCATTCAACACACTGCCTTTGCATATCACAAGCGGAAACTCGAGTAAGATATTGTTCAATTCAGCACTTCCCATCAAGTTTCGCATGGCTTACGTCATCATCTTGGTCACAAGGAAGTAGTAATTAGTGGATGGTTGCGGCTGTAAGGCATCAACGACAGGCGTCTTAAATCGCATGCTCTTCACCAATCTTGTCTTTATCATTGATGGCCCCGTAGCATCTACTGGTTGCGCCAATCGTTCACCTGTTAGACACCGCGAATCCTTACCACCCTTTGGCCGAACTCTCGGCATAACTAATTAACTAGTTAGCTGAACTCGAAGCTATCCCCAACGGCTCAAGGCTTCCACGTTACTCGCATAGTTATCCACCACCGTGCTTACGACGACTTTGGGAAGGGAACGGCTTTATATTGCCCCGTGCTCTCTGTGCCTTGAAAATCACTTCTCATTATTTGGAAGTTGAAAACCTTTCTCTCGTTTCAAACCGTTGAAGAGGAGCTGCGCTCGGTTTCCCCCCCCGCCATGTTTCGCGCGCAGCAGAATGCATATGATGATGTTGTCGGTAAGTTTGCTACAGATGAGAATTTGCTTACTATCACCTTTCTAGTATGCGGAAGATAAAATGTATGCTAAAATTCATCAATAGCTAAGGCGACCGATGAGAATCTTACCTCCGAGAACTGGGAATATATACTTGTATGACATGTTCCCCTCCCCCCTCCGTTTTAGCCTCGCTCGCTCTCTCGTCGCGTGTTTACGCATGACAGACTACTGGATCTTGTTAGACGTGTGTGATAAGGTGTCTGGGGATGAATCTGGGTATGGAGCATACAATTAAACTTGAGGATGGGTTATGAGGCAGACTGGCTAATTCGTCGAAATTGTGCTATAGCGCAAAAGATGCGGTGGTCGCAATGATCAAACGACTCGCTCACCGCAATGCAAACGTGCAGCTTTACACGTTGGAGGTTCGTTCCATCTGCTTTTGACCTGGGTAACTATTTCTTAGTATGCGGGGCATGCGGCTAATGTCAATGTGATCGTTGTAGCTTGCCAACGCCTTGTCCCAGAACTGCGGAGCGAAAGCACATCGTGAATTGGCATCAAAGAGCTTTACAGATGCGCTTTTACGTCTAGCGAGTGATCGGGTATGTCGCTACCCCAGTGATATTCAAAGGAAATCTGCTAATAATATACGTCGCGCTCCTATAGAACACCCATCCCCAGGTCAAGTCCAAGATACTCGAGAATATGGAACAATGGACGGAAATGTTTTCGAGCAATGCAGATTTTGGGATTATGGAACAAGCTTACATGAAGCTAAAATCGCAGAGTAAGAAACCAATCATATTGGGACTTATCGTAGTGACTTACACGGACTCCAACTAGATCCAAACATTCAACCGCCTTCGAAACCGACCAAACGTCAAATAACCGATATAGACCGACAAAAAGAAGAGGAGGAGCTGCAAATGGCGCTCGCTCTGTCTATCAAAGAGAAACAACCAGTAATAACTGCACAACAAGGCAGTTCATCTGAGGAAGCTGCTACTAGCTCGTCTACTCAGTCCCATGCCGTACCCTCTGTGGGCATACCGTCTGGCACGACTGCTGCAACCGTATCTCGCGTTCGGGCATTATATGATTTCCAGCCGTCAGAACCCGGAGAGCTTCAATTCCGAAAGGGCGATATCATAGCTGTGCTAGAGTCTGTTTATAAGGACTGGTGGAAGGGTTCACTAAGGGGTCAGGTTGGCATCTTTCCGCTAAATTATGTTGAAAAACTTTCGGACCCAACGCAGGAGGAGCTCCAACGAGAAGCCCAAATGGAAGCTGAAGTCTTTGCCGAAATAAAAAATGTGGAAAAACTTTTGGCTTTGCTGAGCACGAGTAGCTCCGAATTAAACGTACAAGAGAACGAGGAAATTACGAAATTATACCATTCAACGCTTGCGATTCGACCGAAGTTGATTGAGTTGATTGGAAAATATTCCAAGAAGAAAGGTAAGGGACTTGGATAACAGTTTAAATATTTTTCACTAACCGGGTCGCAGATGACTTCACCCAACTCAATGAGAAATTTATAAAAGCCCGAAAAGACTATGAGGCGTTATTAGAAGCATCTATGGCTCATCCAGCGCAACCTCACTTTGGGCGACCGGCAGCTCACTCATTTGGTTATCCACCCCCTGGAGGGCATCCAGGCTATCCTTCAACGGCGGCGCAACAAGAACCACAACGCTATTATACCCCTAGGCCCGCGCAAGGTTAGTGATTTAATAGACCGTTTGTGAGGGCCTGGCATTAACATCATGGGTAGACCCACAAGCAGCTCCTCATAACCCCCCGGTGGGATATTATGGTACTGAATCGAGCACAGTTTCTTATCAGCCTACGTCCCAGTCTCCGGAATTCCAAAAGCACACACCGCCAGGCGCCATGCCACCACCGCAACAGCAACCATCTCAACCACCACAGGACGGATATTCGCAAAGTGGAACTTCACATTACCCGCCAAAGACAACCTTCGACCATCCGCAAGAATTGGGCACATCCGTTTATGACTCTCCACAAGGAAATGCTCCACAAACCATACGGCATTCTTACCATCCATCAATGCAACAGGATTTCCAGAGACCCCTACAACACAATCAACGACGTTATTCTTCGCAGGAGAACCTAAAGCAGCAAGCGTTATCATCTAATCCACCATATCCTATACAGACGTCTCAAGAAACCCAGCAACAACCACTATCACCGCCGGCGCCAATGCACCAACCTCCGCCCATCCCAACTGCTACGCCATCACAGGCACCCTATCCCGGCGGCGGTTATCAAGCATATCAACCACCCACCGCACCACAACAACATAGCCCAACCTCCAACCCCGCTGCGTTTTACCGATAGGTGCGTTGTTTGAGATGTTATTTAAATAGGATACCATTTTGAAGCATTATGGCTATAATTCGCAGTGCTGGAACCAACAAAATTGCTGTCAAATGAAATATATCTATTGCCATAGGAGACCGGGGGGTCTCAAAATAACCCTTGTCTGTTTTCCCTCACCGTTTCCGGTCATTTTGCCTATGTAATGATATCATGTATACTGAATTGATAGTCGCTTCGGTAAATTCTAAGCGCTAGATTATTTAGCAAGGTGTACTTTTCTATATGAACTATTAGGTACTCGCATACGAAGTATCGATCTCGACGCCAAGACGCGTAGGTAACTATTGTTTAATTACGTAATCAGTCTCTCAAGTTAACTCGTTTACCCCTGAGAAAAGTTGTGAGCCAACCTTGCTGGATGTCGTATTTCAGCAAAAGGGCGGGCTAGCCAGACGCTGAAACAATTTTGACAAAACGTGAACATTGTGGTGACTTTCTATTTTCTGTCGCCATCAACTGAACTGCCTGAAGACCCTAAAGATCCGGCACTCGCTAATACCATTAAGCTCTCCTTGTTGCCGACACGTTATGGCTGATGGATATGTCCCCGTGGATGATGACGATGATGACGGGGACATTACGCATTATCCCGCAGAAAGATTGAGCACAGAGGATCGATTGCCACTTTTTGCTCGGCCAGGCGTCATTTTTGATCAAGAGCGTATCAACCAGGGGGTTTCTTCTGCTGAGTCTCTGCATGAGCATCATCCTAGTCAGGTACCGTTATTGCTGAACCTCTCCAAGTGGAACGCGTGCTATTTTCAGGGTACAAGACACTGACGTTGGAGTCGTACTTACAAGGAGATTACCGGTTGGGCCTCAATGTGGTGAGTAGTCATTGTAGTACTAGTTTTGCCATTCCCAGGCGAATGCTGAATTCGGACTCTAGGCTGGCATATCAGTCAATTGGTGCTATTTACGGAGACATTGGAACCAGCCCTCTGTACGTTTTCTCAGCAGTGTTCACGTCTCCACCGGAGGCGTACGATTTACTTGGAGCTCTTTCGCTCATCATTTGGGCGCTGATTCTCATTGCTACGGTGAAGTATGTGGGAATTGTGCTCTGTGCCAATAATCATGGCGAAGGCGGTTCATTTGCGTTACTTTCTTTGATTAGACGCCATGTACGTGTTGATTCGAATGGAAGCCACCAATGCAGTCATTTTATAGCTAACCATCGTCTAGGTTCACTTGGATTGGCGAGATATACTATCCGAAGAGAGTGAAGAGCAAACTTACAAGGAAAAGAAGCTAAGAAGCTTCAATTATTCGGCCAGGAATGCCCTGAGGCAGAGCCCTATGGCCAAGCGGCTGGTAACGGTTTTAGCTGTGCTTGGAGTTTGCATGGTCATGTCTGGTAGGATGCCCCTATAGCTACCACTTTTGACCCGGCTGATGGTGTATATAGATGGAGTGATTACTCCTGCGCAATCGATTCTGGGCGCAGTTCAAGGTATCAAAATTTCACGTTTTGCCAATCTTGAATTTTCCTAAAGAATGATTTAGGGATTAAGGTCGCGGCGCCCGACATGTCAACCAATGTCGTAGTGACCATTACATGCCTCTTGATCGTTGTGCTATTTGCCATACAACCTTTTGGTGTATCAAGGCTTAGCAACTATTTCGCCCCCATTGTAATGGTCTGGCTAATATTTAACATGGCGTTTGGAGTATACGTACGTATCCCGGTTACTCTTGTTATTGTGTAGCCCTGATTTGTATAGAATCTGGTCGCTTTTGATCATTATGTGATTACGGCTTTTTCCCCGAAATATGCGATTGATTTTATGATTCGACACAAGTTTGATGGGTGGCATTCTCTTGGGGGTGTTTTATTGGCGTTTACAGGTATAATATCCCAGTTCTCCAACTACATTCGTGCGAACTCACTAACTTTTCGTAGGCGTTGAAGCACTGTTTGCCGACCTCGGCGCGTTTTCAGTTAAGCAAGTTTTCCAAGGGCGGTGATAAGGGGGATTAACGCTAAAAGGGTTTTCGTTAGGGCGATTCGGGTCTCGTGGCTCTGTTTTGCCTTGCCCTGCTTACTTCTTACCTACTGCGGCCAAGCTGCATATATAAGTGTGCATCCGGATGCGATCTTGAACCCGTTATTCAAAGCGGTTCCGCCGGGAATGTATTGGCCGACTCTGATACTGTCGATCTTGGCCTCGATTGTTGCATCTCAAGCCATGCTCACGGGAACGTTCCAGCTGATTTCGCAGGCTATTCGAATGGCCTATCTGCCTAGGATGAGGCGTGTCCACACATCGAAACGTGTGACAAGCCAAATATATATCCCGTTGGCGAACTGGCTGATGATGATGGGGTCGATAGCAGTTACTGCCGTTTTTAAAACTGTAAGTCTTGAGGGAGTTGAGTTTTAAGATTATTTGCTGATTCAGACAACATAGACCACCCGGATCGGTAATGTATATGGTGTATGTGTCGTTGGAGTTAGCTTTATCACAACTTGGCTTGTTGCACTAGTGGCGATTATCATCTGGAATCTGCATATTGCGATTGTTCTTCCAATCTTCCTTTTTATTGGGCTCCTTGATACGCTTTTTCTGGCGGCGGCCCTTGCTAAAATACCGGCTGGGGGATGGTTCACAGCAACAATGGCCGCCATCCTAACAAGCACTCTGCTCATTTGGAGCTACGGTGAGGGATGTCAATTCAATGCAGAGCGAGATGAGAGTTCGTCCCGGTCCACGCTATTCACAAGCCATGACCGCCAACTGTGGCTCCGTGACGGAAAAGCAGAATATTCGGTCAAAACCATCAGAGGTGAAGTTCCCACGAGTGTGCTAGCGGGAAATCTACTGACACGTAGTAGGAATTGGTGTTTTCTTAATCGAACCGAACTCGAGGTCTCCTCCGGTTTTCGATCATTTCATCAAGAAATTCGAGGCAACGCATGCAGTGTCGATTCTCCTCCAGATAAAGCCTCTTCTTAAATATTCTGTAAGCGTGACGCTTGATGATACCCAGAAACGCCGCGACCTAACACAATTACCATTCAGGTTCCTATTCGAGATCGCTTTACCCTAACCGCCACAAATATCACAGGGCTGCATCGTGTCACCCTTCGTTACGGTTATGGGGATACCCTCTCTTGGGACTCCTTTGAAGAAACGTTGATCGATGAGCTTGGGCTCAACCATCCCAACGAAGACCCCGAGTCAGAGGGTTATACGGCCACTGACACCAGTTCAATCCCGCTCGCGCGGCCAAGTCAGTTCGCATCCCCGAAGCCAATCACTTACATTGTCGGAAAGGATAAGTTATATGTCAAGAAAGACTCCGGCTTCGTTCGAAGAATATTCCTCAGTGTCTTTATCTATCTGAAGGGCCATGAGAAGACGAAGCTCTCTCGTTTAAAAGTTCCGGTTGACAGGCTGGTCGAGGTTGGATTTTCCAAGGCGATATAAAGCGACAGGGCCATATGCATAAAGATAGACATTCCATTTTTGATAGCGAATTTCCTTTGATCATCGTTTTTCCTGTTCTCCAAGTTCAAATTTCTTTTCAGATTTCTTTCCGCACGGTGTTATGACGGAGGACGGTTGGAGATGCCTGAGCCTCGGCGTCTGTGCGGGATGAATTCCGGGTTGTGGATAAAGTCGAGGTTGGGTTCTCTACCTAGAGGAGCTAGCGAGAGCATAGCTCCAGGGCCACATAATGCTGATCACATTGCAGGTGCATAGTTTTAATCGTTTATGGAGCATCGTGTAATGCCGAATTTCAATCTTCAAAGCAGGGCTTCTCAAGCAGTACATGGGCCCCTGGCCCCCTGCACAGGCTGCACATGAAAAATGCCAAGACCGGACTGCGCAGGAACTTTCCTAATTTGGATATGTTCGGCGAAACTATCCTATCTGGGAGACGAAATCCGGGCTCGCTTAATAAGCATTCTCCGATTGGCTATTCTGCTTCAGATGTCACATGCTGCGACGAAAGGGAATATCGACAGCTTGAACGTGAAGGCAAGTGTGCAGCAAAGGATATATGTTATGGGTTACCTGTCTGAAAGGAGAGGCGATTTGGGCTTATCAGAGAACCCGGAGATTTGGCCCGGGAGGAGGAAAGTGACCGCCATGGATTGCCCTTGGATTCCCCGGGTCGAAATCACGGTTCAAAGCCTAGAAAGCTATCCAGAGCGATAAGACTCCACTGGAGGCTGGAGCATTAGAGATATTTCCCCTCACTTTTGGGGGGTTCCAAGGAGACCGCTTTCTAAATTGAAAAGGAAAGCCGAACATCCCAGCTTGGGAGACCAGCATTAATAAATTTGCTGTCATGCATTCTGTTGGATTTTGAGGAGCAGCTGAAGTTAGCCTACTAGGCCAGGAACAAGCTGGTGCTGTTAAGAAAAGGGCCGTGTGGATAGGCGGTTTCTGTGGCTGGCTCGATAAATTTTCCCTCAACGTGAACTAAATTATTTCAACCACCCCGTTTAAATATCCACCCAACTGTTTGCCGTCAATTACCAACCGACTTCTCCTTCAACTCTTCTTCCTCGCTGCTTCAATTCTCTCTATCCCACATTCACCTCCACATTCCCTTCTCATCGCATCCAGGCGTTTGATTTCAAGGTCGCAAACCTCTTCCAAACCACAATGGCCAACAAGGAATTCACCCTACAAGAGGTTGCTGCTCACGACAGCAAGAAGGATCTCTATCTTATCGTTGACGAGAAGGTCTACGACATTTCCTCATTCGTTGATGAGCATCCGTAGGTTAACTTTGTTGCTCTTTTGCTCGTTGGATGTGCCCGGCCGGGGACGCCGCTCCCCCAGACTGTGCACCGCCTGTCCCAACCTGTCAATTTGAAGAGAATTTGTCGGACTAACGTGACCTGTGGCTTGCTTTAGTGGTGGTGAAGAAGTTCTTCTCGATGTTGGCGGCCAAGATGCCACAGAGGCTTTTGAGGATGTTGGTCACAGTGACGAGGCTCGTGAAATCTTAGAAGGGCTTCTCGTCGGAAAGCTCAAGAGAGCGGTACGTTGAGAATCCCGATCCTATTGACAGAAATTTCTCATGGCGTTGAATTCGGACCTCTAACTTTTGTATCTCTTCCATTTTAGCCCGGAGACCCTGCCCCTGTCAGATCTCAGACCGCTGCGACAAGCAATGCCCCTTCGGCGGACGTGTCTACTGGTCTTGGAATCGGCCTCTATGCCGTCATCGTCCTCGTCGGCGCCGTCGGCTACGGTTTATACCAATACTTGAACGCTGCGACTCCAGTCAAGGCATAGAAATATCACATGAGACCGTTTCGTTTCTTGCGACTATTCGATGTTTCTATATCTTCTTCCTACTGATACACACCTTCAACACACACTTTTGTAATTTTTTAGCGTCATGTAACGCCCTCTCAATATATGGTATCTGTTCGGTTTTCTCCCTAGACGTCTTAGTCGAGTGCAAAAAGGGAGTTTAGACAGGTGGCTCTTTCTGGACCGCCTTTGGTTTCTCTGTTTCATGCTTTTATTCCCTCACTTCGAAATCCTCCTGGTTGATGTATTTTCCAGGCCGTTGACCTCGCGCTTCTGATGCGTGTTTTACTAGGCCCCGGCGTGGGACTATTAACGAAATACTCATCAAAAACTACCATCTCGATAGAATACAAAGACTGTTGGTCATCTAGTTTTAGCGTTGTCATCAGCCGCGTGTGCTCTCATCAGACTGATTCAGGGATCATTGGGATCCCCCGCACACCCCGGAGCCGCAGATCCCGGATGGTTCGTTGCCAAAATCAATATTTGTGGAGTTTCAACATACATGGCAGTAGGTGGGAGAATTGCAGGCTTAGGCATTTTTTGATTTTAAGTCTTGTATGCAACCTAAGGATATGGAGAGGTGAACATGATAAGCTTTGAACGGGGTAAAATAATTGGTGTCAAACAGCATTTCATCAAGGATGTCAACCTAGTAGTCGCCCTCCAATACACACTTCTACGGCTCGTAGCACATGGTGGTACGGATAGCATATAGTAATAAGCAAATAAGATGCTCCGAGGTAGGAAGCTCAATCACTCTATATTATCATAGTATAGAAATATTCCAAATCGCCAGTGTCTCTACGATCTTGGGGCTGGAGGTTGAAATGACGTTGATTGACCAAATGCTTTGATCTCGCCCCGCGCTGAAACTAGGTTCAACAAAGCGCGACAAGTCACTTCCATCGCCTGTCATTCTCCCCATCCTAGTTTCTCTTCTGTGATACGATGTCCCGTAATCGTGTGAAGAATGTTGCTTATGACGATGACGATTACTACGACGAAGATGAATACGGGGATGAAGGCGAACTCTCCCCCGAAGATCGAGAGCAGATGAGGCTCCGAACCACGGAAGTCCAGGAGTTACTACGATCCGAGATCCCCCCTATCCAGGCAAAGGAGGAGGAGATATGGGAATCGCTATGGCATTATTACTACGATGTGGATAAAACGGTTGCATATCTGAGGAGTAAGACCTGATGCTCCCGTTGTTTTCTGGCATCCTGCATTTTCCCTTTGCTAAGGCGGGGTCCCGTTCCTAGAGAAATACCGACCGCCAACGCCGAAGAAGACCACAGGAGCACCGACCTCAGTTGCGAAACCGAGATCGAAAGGCGTAGGTGAGTTACTTAACTTTCCTTTTGTACCTGCCAGAAGGAAGCCCGTTTTCTTGGAGTCGTCGGATGGGCGAACATCTATCCCACAGCATGGTGCGTCTCTTGCCGATTCCCCTCCCCATAGGTTGTCAATGTGTCGTAGGCAGCTGATGTAGGATGATTCAACAGTTCCTAATTGCTGCACTACAGAATTACCTTCGCCTTACCCGCTTCCCTCCCACCGCGCTCAGTGCTCGGCCCAGTTCTCGGCCCGCGACTTCTTCAATGACTCCCCGTGGCTGAACATCCCTCTTCACCGCAAAGCGGATATTTTGGTTGAGCCGCTTTATCCTCGCCTTGGCTTATTAGGCGGAGCACAAGAGGGCCCCGGAAGGATGTCCAAGCTCGCTGCCCTGGCAGCTGCGCGGAAAAAGAAGGAGAGTGAAAAGAACAAAGCAAATCAGGAGCCTGCAGCCCCTGAGCCATCGTCTGTGCCAGTGTCATCGGAAAACCACCGCAGTACTTCGATTTCACTTCTGGATAGACTGGCCAGCAATGGGAAATCTAAAGCGGGCTCGGAAACCCGTCCCTCCAAGTTCCTACTTCGGAAGGCAGATCGGGATGCAAACAGGGCTCCGCAGGAGAGTCAGCCAACAAATCCCCGCGGATCAATGGGCTCACAGCAAAAGCCAAAGTCCCCTATCGCGTCGCCTATCCCGGGCCCCGTAAAGGATATGGCTCCATCTAAGGAGGATCTTCTTGCTCCACCCTCTTCTTTCGCAACTATCATTATTGGCAGCCGGAATGGTCAAAGGCCGTCTTGTTGCTCGTCGCATAATTTTGACATGTTTAGACTATACGGTCAGAACCTTACTGAATCTTTCAATTTTGCAGACCCGAGCCCTGATGATGTCGTTATAAATGCGCAAAACGCGGCGAAAGGTCAGCTTCGTTTTTTCTTCACGGACTATACGGTGATGCTAATGCTTCCTAGCAAATAAAGCAAAGCAGGCTAAGGCCCAGTCTTCGACTAAGGCGTCATCTGACCTAGCGGATAGCGTCAAACAACTCTCAGTACAGGAATCTATCAAACCTAAGAGCAAACAATTAGATGTTTTGGAGGAGCATCGTAAAGCAAAAAGAAAGAAAGCCGCCAACTTCGTCGTCATTGGTAAGGTTATTTTTGGCTGAAAAACAGGACCATCTCTGATCTGGTATAGGGCATGTTGACGCTGGAAAGAGCACCCTTATGGGAAGGCTGCTGTATGACTTGGGGGCTATCGACCAACGCACAGTAGACAAATATAAACGAGAAGCAGATAGAATTGGAAAGGGGTCGTTCCATCTTGCCTGGGTCCTTGATCAAGGATCAGAAGAAAGGGCCCGTGGAGTAACGATCGATATTGCGACAAACAAGTTTGAAACAGCATCTACGAGTTTTACAATACTAGATGCCCCTGGACATCGTGACTTTGTACCCAATATGATCGCGGGGGCTAGCCAGGCTGATTTCGCGGTCCTGGTAATCGATGCTGGCACAGGGAACTTCGAGTCTGGTTTGAAAGGCCAAACGAAAGAACATGCTCTGCTCGTTCGAAGCATGGGCGTTCAGAAGATCGTGGTTGCGGTGAACAAGATGGACTCGGTGACATGGTCCAAAGAGAGATTTGATGAGATTGAGCAGCAAATATCGTCGTTTTTGACGACTGCCGGGTTCCAACCGAAGAATATATCCTTCGTTCCATGCTCTGGACTTCGCGGGGAGAATATTGTCTCACGGACGGAAGATAAGTCTGCTACTTGGTACACTGGGAAAACCCTAGTTGAAGAACTGGAAACCGCTGAGCCGTATACATACGCGATCGAGAAGCCTTTACGCATGACGATCGCGGATGTTTTTAAGGGAGGGGCACAAAATCAGCTATCTATCTCCGGGCGCATCGACGCTGGGAGTCTGCAGGTAGGAGATCGGATTCTGACCATGCCAAGTGGGGAGTCGGCCGTGGTCAAAAGCCTTGAAATCGATGAAGAGCCCAGCGACTGGGCTGTGGCGGGAAACAACGTTGTCCTCCACCTCTTGGACATTGATCCCATGTATCTCAAAACCGGGGATGTGATTTGCAGCCCGTCCTCTCCGGTGAAGAATTTGAACTCGTTCACGGTCAAAGTGCTAGCCTTTGACCATCTGACGCCAATGCATGTCGAGCTTCACCGCGGGCGGCTGCATGTGCCTGGTCGCATATCACGACTTATTGCTACCTTGGATAAGGCCTCTGGAAACCCCGTGAAAAAGAAGCCGAAGATCGTGGCGCCGGGCACGGTGGCGCGCATTGTGGTTGATATTGACCAGTCGATACCTCTGGAGGCCCCAGCACGAGTTGTTCTCAGGGCAAGCGGGGAGACAGTGGCTGCAGGGTTACTAGAATGAATGAGATAGCTAAATAGCTTGGACTTTGCATATGCACTAACTAGAGATAAACTTGAATCAAAGACTTCAACGCGACGATACATTTATGGTTACGGCGATAATGAGATCAATGTTGATTGTGTAGCAGTATCAGATGAAAGCCCGGTGGAACTTCGGCGGAGTTTTGATTAAGCCATCCCGCAAGCTAACTAGATCAATTCCGGCATAGTGTCTCTTGAACCTCGGAGTAGATGCCGCTTTCAGTGTTCAGTCCACAGCGGTGCCGCCTGTCTAAAAATAGTGGAAGATGAAAGAATCTTCGGGTCCGGAATGGAAGGGGCTGAAGCTCTTCGCAACGTGGCCAAAGGGAAGTCAAGTGGCTAATTAATGATTTCAGGACAGTTCTTGCAAAAACACTGATCGATATCTGGCTTCGAAGCTGCTGGATGAATAAAGGCGTGACTGGTGGCAGTGGCAATACCAGCACGCCGGAGTGGCCAGATAGACAGCAACAGCAGCCAATCACAGCCCAGGGTCACGAAATTTTGTGGAGATCTCTGTCTGGTTAGTCAGCAATCACAGCCAATCAGATTGTGCAAAATACACTCTAAATGGGGCGCTAAAGCTTGCCACAGCCACACTAGGCCGCGATAGGACTAGTGTCGTCTGGCAGGTCGAAAAGGCCAACTATTCCTTCACCTCATCGAACGCGAAGATAAAGCTGCTCTCCTCGCTTTCTCTCGACTCTGCTCTTCCTCAAGATTGGAGCTGCCCTTCTTCGCTTTTGTTCGCCTTAATCACATTTTCCTTTCCTGTTTTTTTCTACTTTCATTTTATGCCCCTTTTGTTTTCCCTTCGCGCCGGAACCAAGCGAAACCAAAGCTTTGGACAAGACACCTTGTCATACCGGGAAGAGCTGATATAGAACGCCCGGTCCAACCAACAGATACCCCCTCTCCCCTATTGCAGAAAGCAATTCTCTCCTCCTTCACACAAGATGTCTCGTCGATCGAGGCGGGACGTGGCGTCCTCGCCGTTCGCGTGGACCACGGTCTTTTACCTGCTCCTCGTCTTCATTGCTCCTTTGGCGCTTTTGGGAACCGCACATGCAAAGGAAGAGCAAGCACCTTTACAAGAACAAATGGGACCTGGTATGTGTATTCTCACGCAGCAATTGCTTTTGTCTACCGGCTAGTGGGGTGCTAACTGCTCCATCGAACAGTTATTGGTATTGATTTGGGAACGACGTACTCGTATGCAATCCATCCATTTCCGCGTTTTCCATGCGACAATGCTGATTATAGCTAGATGTGTTGGTGTCATGAAGAATGGCAAAGTCGACATTATCGCAAACGACCAGGGTAACCGAATCACTCCTTCCTATGTCGCCTTTACCGACGATGAACGGCTGGTTGGGGATGCCGCAAAGAATCAATACGCGTCAAACCCTAGGCGAACTGTCTTTGATATCAAGTGCGTTGATGCAAATCTACTCCTGTTGTTTTTGGGGCATTCATTCTGACAGATCGGTTTTAGACGTCTTATTGGCCGTAAATACGAAGACAAGGACGCTCAAAATGACATCAAGCACTTCCCATTCAAGGTGGTGAATAAGGATGGCAAGCCACAAGTTCGCGTTGAAGTCAATGGAACACCAAAGAACTTCACTCCCGAAGAAATCTCCGCCATGGTGTTGGGCAAGATGAAGGACATCGCCGAAGGATACCTCGGCGAAACAGTCACCAACGCTGTTGTTACCGTTCCAGCCTACTTCAACGATAACCAGAGACAGGCCACCAAGGATGCCGGAACCATTGCCGGCTTGAATGTTCTCCGTGTCGTCAACGAGCCTACCGCGGCCGCTATTGCCTACGGACTTGATAAGAAAGGCGACGAGCGCCAAATCATTGTATACGACCTCGGTGGTGGTACTTTTGATGTTTCCGTCCTTTCCATCGACAACGGTGCTTTCGAGGTTTTGGCGACCGCTGGTGACACCCACTTGGGTGGTGAGGATTTTGATCAACGAGTCATTACTCACCTCGCTAAGCAATACAACAAGAAGAACAGTGTCGATGTTACCAAGGATCTCAAGAGTATGGGCAAATTGAAGCGCGAGGTTGAAAAGGCAAAACGCACTCTTTCATCCCAAATGTCCACCCGTATTGAAATCGAAGCTTTCCATGATGGAAACGACTACTCTGAGACTCTAACCAGAGCCAAATTCGAAGAACTTAACATGGATCTCTTCAAGAAGACTCTCCGCACTGTCGAGCAGGTGCTCAAGGATGCTAAAGTCAAGAAGTCCGATATCCATGACATCGTCCTTGTTGGTGGTTCAACTCGTATTCCCAAGGTTCAGCAGCTCCTCGAAGAGTTCTTTGGTGGAAAGAAGGCAAGCAAGGGCATTAACCCCGATGAAGCTGTTGCCTTTGGTGCCGCCGTTCAAGGTGGTGTCCTCTCTGGTGACGAGGGAGCTACCGAGGTCGTCCTCATGGATGTCAACCCTCTGACTCTTGGTATTGAAACCACTGGTGGTGTCATGACCAAGCTGATCCCTCGCAATACTGTTATTCCCACTCGCAAGTCTCAGATCTTTTCGACCGCGGCTGATAACCAGCCCGTTGTCCTTATCCAAGTTTGTAAGTCTTTGCGTCGACTTTTCCAGCTGAAATAGTACACTAATATTTCGTATAGATGAAGGAGAGCGATCTATGACCAAGGATAACAACTTGCTGGGCAAATTTGAGCTCACAGGAATTCCACCAGCTCCACGTGGCGTACCACAAATTGAAGTCTCCTTCGAACTTGATGCCAATGGTATCTTGAAGGTTACTGCTGGCGACAAGGGCACCGGCAAAGCTGAGTCTATTACTATCACCAATGACAAAGGTCGCTTGTCTCAGGAAGAAATCGACCGCATGGTTGAGGAAGCCGCCAAATTTGCGGATGAGGATAAGGCCATGAAAGCCAAGATTGAAGCACGGAATGGACTTGAGAATTATGCCTTCAGCTTGAAGAACCAGGTCAATGATAAAGACGGATTGGGTGGCAAGATTGATGAAGATGATAAGGAAACTGTATGGCTTCCCGTTTTCTTAGCTTGTACTAAACTCTTAACTGACATACTTTCCAGATCCTTGAAGCTGTAAAGGAGGCCACCGACTGGCTCGATGAGCACGCCGCTACCGCCACCACTGAAGATTTCGAAGAACAGAAGGAGAAATTGTCCAATGTGGCATACCCCATCACCAGCAAATTATACGGTGGCGCTGGAACTGACGGAGAGTCGGATGAACCATCTGGACACGATGAATTGTAAAGATATTGAAAGAACAAAAAAGGAAAAAATTTGTCTTAAGGCCTAAAAAGGTCTTTTGTAATGTTACAAGCAATTGAGACTCCATGAAATCGTCGCGCTTAGATAAGGCATACATATTTGCGAGTACAGGATTTGAAAGAATGGGGACAATGGAGTTTTTTTGTATTGTACTCCGTACCGAATTATACTGTGTTACACTTCTCTTCACTTTAGCCGCATTATCCCCTGTAGGTCCACAACCAGTACCCCAGAATTGCCCATTCTCAAGAGTCAAGCAAGTCATCAATCACTGATGTAGCATTAGCTAGCCCATTGTGGCTTAGAACAGTAATTTGGTGCCACGAGGGACAGCTACGAGATGGGCGGAGACTTACAAAAAGAGAAAGAAAAGAAAGCAAAAGAAGAAAGAAAGGGAGGAAATGTTGCTAAATGTCTGCAAAGTTGAATACGGATTATTCTGAGCCCAATTTTAGGTATATATTTGTCACATTACTGTGGAGGAAATCTACTTCCATGGGACGACGGAGAAGAGTCATAAAAGCCCCTTGAAGACTCCGAAATGGATACATCCATCGTCTTGACAATACCATTCCCGCTCCCATTAATACCGTGCATTCCGTCTCCGTTGTCGATCATATGTTCTTCGCTCTCGGACCGACGCATGTACGTATCCCGTCCGCCAGGTTTCACAGATGTTAGAAATACGTGGTCGTCCCGGCCTCGTGTCCAGCCTAGACTTGGGTCGACCGTGGGAAGTGAGCGGTCGCCGCGCGATTTGTGCCGGGACGCAGCGGCGTAGGATAGTGGGTTACGGTGTGAGTTTGAGGGGTCGGAATGGGAGAAGAGTCTTGGGAAAAGGAGGGCGAGGGGTTGACGGATCATGGGGAGGCAGGCGCAGATGATGCCGGTGTTGATTTCGATGGCGCTCCAGATTGAGACGGAGATGGTGTTCCCTAGAATTTGCGAGCAGAGGGTAGGTAAATACATTTTTGTGTGGGGAGATTGACGATAGGGAGCGGTGTGGAGCTTACAGGTAACATCGTCGAGATTTGCTGATGCGGCAAGGGACTTGGTTCGGACAATGCTGGTGATGCAGACGCTGTAGTGTCGTGGTTAGATTTTTCAATTTATTCATGATATCTTGAGTGGGTGCGAGTCCAACATACAATCCACCCAGCAGAAAAATCATGATAACGGCGATTTTATCGCGCGGCTTTAGTTGAAGGATAAGCACTTGTTGTACTGGCAGGAACAGGATAATGAAGTCGGTGATGATGTTGATTAAGGCGTACGATAGCCACGAGACATGGTTATTTAGACATACATGCGGCATGATGGATCGATCCCAGAACGAAGCGACTGGTCTGCATTGCCAGATTGTCGGCCCGAGATATGCGACTGACGAGACCACTGTAAACACAAGCATGCCAATGCAGCACCAAGAGAAATATCGGGCGACACTGAAGACACGCAGGTAGAGTAGTAGTATCGAAACTTTAGTGAGGCAAATAACAACCTTGTAGAGAACTTGGGTCGCGAATAGGGCCTGCGGGGTGATTTCAGTTAGCTAGGGAATTATCATCGAAACATGGAAAAGTTCAACCTTGAGTGCGCTAATCTTTTGGTGCTCTAAGAGATCCGTATCATGTTGGCCATATCCATGCTCCACAGCTGCATATATGATCCGCATCCATCAGTCAACGAGTAAAGGACACAAATATCAATATCCGCGTGTGGGGAGTAGTTTACCCAGATTATGTGAGAGAGTGAAAGCCACGGAGGAAATCTATCAGAAGTCAGAATCCGTTCGGGGAAACAATAGCAGCACGGCCTCTCGACACACCAGCGAAGCCAGGACAGCCCAATCATCCACCTGGATACCGCTCCGGAAATATCTCGCAGCTAACCGTATTCCCACGAAAATCGCGGCGGCGATGAGCATCACCGTTCCGACGATCCATAGCTGCCACCCTCGGTTTGGATGATCAGGTGACGTCGGTAGTCCGATATTCACCATGACAAGTACAGTGCAGATTCGCGCATGGGAAGATGGTCTTGCACGGCCTAATCGTCTCCAGGTGGCTGAGCAATTCCAGAGATATCTGAATGTATATGCACTAAACCACATCATGTCAGTAAGCAATCAATTGGCCTGCTGAGGGCCGGAAGGTACCTGAATTCGAAACTACAATGCCAGGATCATCTCAAAGGCTCGATCTGGATGCGCAATGTATCTCTCCATAAGCAGCTTTGGCGCATAGCTTGGCTGAGTAGAGTATTGAAGGGCTGAGTTGGGGGCGGCTCTCGAGACAAAATGCGGTAACGCTGAAGTTCGATTTAAAACGAGAGCAGTCGAGAAACTGATCTCATTGCTGGGATCCAATTCCCCAGCGATAATGGAACGCAAATTAGAAAAGTTGCCAGCAAGACGGTGTTCTAGAGGAATCATGGTCCACAACATGGATGTCGTCGTCTTTATCTAATCCCTCAGCCAACTGGACCAGGGGGACAAAGTGCGGAGAAGGGAGTTAAGTTTGACGAAAGGAATATTAATGAGAAACCGCTCACTAAACGTTGATCCGGAAATTCGTACCACCCTGGTAACCACTCCAGAGAAAGCCGGCAGGATAGCTCCGAGGCAAGGGGAGTAAGGGTAGCATGCATTATGGTGGCATTTTGAGGCGCCGGAAGCGGAAAAGCAGCTTTCCTCGTCTCTCGACATCACCGCGGCGCTCGTGAATAATGTTGTGGAATGCGACCGCCCGTTTCGCGGGTGAGACGGCCTGGCAGTCAGCATGGGAATTGGCAGACGGCAATGAGACGCCGTCCACGAGGATATTCAAGGATCCCTCGTTATAGCTCCTGTGCGCCAACCTGGCCATCAGGCAGGGTTGTGAGTTGAGGAATGCCTTGTTCCAGCATGAAAAGAGATCTCAATCGGCTTCTTCTCGCGGCGAGTGTCCAGTTTGGAAGTTAACCGGCCCCTTGGGCAACAAGGCCCTTGCGCCAGAGAAGCGGTGATTATCTGAGCTTGTTGGAGCAACAATGCGTGCAGATTCTGACTGTTTTGAGATGCGATTGGGGCTCTTGGCGGCCAAAGTCAGCTGGAATTCCCAAGGATTGGTTTGTAACCCCAATCCCAAGTAATTTCGCTCTATCCCTGTCGTAAGAGCCGGCCGTGGTCTTGGAGATTCGTTTCCATTAGCAAAAGTCTAAACGGCTTCTCCCAGAGTCTCGTCGCTTCTCGGGAGAGTTTCAAATTTCACGGCGGCTACAAGAACGATCATCCAGACTGCATGGCCGCTTGAAATAACGGTGAAGTTCGGCGGGAGCCGTGATCGACCCGCCACAAGTGACAATGGAGATCAAATTGCTGCTCTGCACCCGGGGACATGGGCATCTCGATTCCAGGAGTTGATCCATGGTACATGACTCTCCATCCGTGCAGAAAGCTTCGCTCCAAACAGTCACACATATAGCAGGGGTCCTATCCCGGCGAACACATCTTTCAACCTCAATTCGAAAAGCACGTGAGAAAGCCTCCCTGAAACATGGCGCCGAGAGACTTGGTGTCTTTTGGCATGAAATTTGATTCGCGGATTGGTCAACCAACTTTGAGTATCATCGATCTGAATCGAGGAAGTTGGTGCTAAAGCTCCCAGAAGGAGTATCTCTAACAGCCTACTCAAAACCGAGCAGTGTTCCGAAATCGAAAAAGGGCATTTGACCTACTCCGTAGAGTTGATATGTCTCAATTTTACGTCCAATTGTCCAAAATAGACACCCCAGAGGCATGGGCTTCAGGCTATGGTGTGGGAATTATTCGCCAACAAGACGGGAGTATCTTAGACCACCAACCCAGAAGGGGTATGTGGAATTCCAGGCCAAATATGCCACCATGGCCACCAGCGGTTTGCTGTAGTTTAACCACACACTGTAACACGAAAGGCGAGCGCTCAGCTGGGGTATACAAACAGGGAATCAACAAAGTTCGCTAAGTTCTGCCAGTTCAATGCGCCAATGTATAATCCATCAAATAATAGTAAGCATTATAAATTTAACAACGGGCAACGAGAGAGAGCCTGACTCTTAAACGAAGCACACAGAAACACTACCAACGACCAAAGATCCAATCATTATTCATATCAATTCCTTTATCATACCAAGGGAAAAGGGGTACAAAATGCCATTATACACGCTGAGCCGTATGCGAGTGTTGGTACTTTTAGTTCGCTGGAACCCGCTCATAAAACACCAAATATGCTTGTTCGTTTTGGAGACAATCGGGTGATCGAGGGCCACCGGGCGTGAAATCCGTGACTCGATGGTCGTCAAACTTGCGCCAACAATCACGATTGGCGTCACGAGCCATTGAAATATAATGGCCTTCATGGATGGTTGATCCCAAGTGCCGCACAACTGCATAGGCATTGTAGATATACGGAGGAGATGTTGCCAGCTCATGCGGCGTAAGCTCAGCCTGTGTTGACGTATCCGAGTGAGTGGGATTCCCATTTTGTTGTGGTGTAGGAGGGTAATTAGAAGGTTCAATCATGAAAGGACTGAGATCTAAGCCAGAGAGAGGAAAGTAGACAGGTGTATGGATTTTTCGGGCTTGTTGGCGATGGGAAGCAGAGAATCTTTTGAAGTGGAGGACGAGAAACCGCGGGGCGCGAGTTAGGATAATTTGTTTAGTAGCCTCTCTCTCAGTTCGACAATGAGGGCATTTCCAAACCTCATCACCGCTGAGCATCTCCTCTTGGCAATAACTGCGGAGACATTGGTATATATCCCCGGTGCCAGACACGGGGATCTCCACGCTGATGCTATAAAAAGCCTCGTAAGTCGTGGATGTACGCCGACATGTCGTACAACGTAATCGGCTGGCGTGTTGCCCAGCAAAAAGAGTAGAAATGTACGATAGTTCTCGATGGCAGTATCGACTCCACTCTATCCCTGAAACTTGGTGGACTGGCGTCCGCTCACGGCGCATCTCTTGTTCCGTTGTCAATGGGCGTAGAGGAGTCCTTTGCCAGTTTACATTGAGATCTTCGTGCAAGCAGTCGACAAGGACATCAAAAAACTCTTTAGCATCCTGCTGCTGGCTACCTGCCCATTCAGAGTTCAGTCGTCCGATAAATTTTCGAAAAGACGTAGGCCGGATGACTTCAACGTCATTTTTCCACAAAGACCGAACAAGGTTCGCGTAAAGCCCTGGCAGAACGCCTTGGGAACCTTTCCAGTTCTTTTGAACCTGAGCATGAAAGCGGTTATCAAAGAAAAATTTGGTGAGCTCTGTTGTTGCGCTTAAACTTTGGATAATTGAATTCATATAGCACGTTGATCCCAGATTGACAAGGCCAGTGCGAGGGAGCTTGACCCGATCAAGGGGAGAGCTGGATTTGTACAACGCGTGCTTGGTGGCAGAGGCCTGTCGCGCGAGAGGAGGTTGTATGTGTCGGTCGTCGGTGACTCCACTATATGATGGGCGAGGGACCGCCGGTGCTGGCCGGGAAGGGGGTGGGATCGTGGACTCATAAAGACCAATTGATGGAGGCTCGTTTGTTGGCAGACCGGCCATAGATTGTTGGTTATCATGGGGCTCAGGGAAGCGCCGAAGAAAATCTTCATATGTGTGGAAAAAAGGAGAGGTTGATTCCGATTCGGTTGGTTCCAGGTCTTCGGGCTCTTCAGAGATAACCCCATCGCCCGCGTAGTAGCTGGCCGGGTCGATCTCTTCAACTTTCGCCTTTTCTAACCACGCTCGCTCCTCTTCCGCGTCAAGGGGCTTGAATTCACGCAGTCTCCTCTTCTTTACTTCCCAACTTGAATTAGCGCTGACAGTTGGCATTCTCCTCAGCGGCTGGTATTTCCCTGGGATAGGCTTGCGTGCCCGAACTGAATGCATTATAGCAGCGGTGTGGGTAGTTGCTAATGACTGCGGCCCGACTAAGTCTACCCAGGCATCAAGCCCGCCAACAAGTAAAACCGGTTGCCGGCCATATTTCAGGGGCTTATACATATTGAACTCGTAGAGTGTGTCGTACAGAGCTCTCAGGTGAGGAAGGCTACTGGAGGCCGGGGATCCACGAAGATAGGATGGATCGGTGGTATTTTGGTCGTAATACACGATGAGGTCAAATTCGTTTCGTCTCGAGAACAAAGATTGCTCAGCTTCGGGCGATATAATTAAGCGGTCTTCTAGTTCTTCCGCAGAGACATTTTCCTTCAGCACGACTGGCTCAATGCATATTACGGATTTTGCATTTATGTGACCAGTGTCGTACTGATCTCGGGAACGAACATCGATAAGCAGAACATCGTGTTTGCGAAGGTACTCCAGTAAGCGTTCGGCAGAAATCGATGCTCCGACAGTCGTGTCTGCCATTTTGCTCCTTACATCGCCTTCAGCATGCATCTCGGTAGGGGTGCGCGAACGGTACGGATTATCATCGGCGGCATTGAAACCATCGTTCAAATCACCCATCCATGGAAAAGATTGTTTGTAGGGTCCAGGGCGGAGGCTATCGATTGAAGTTCTGGGAGGATTATGGGGTGGTTGAGATGGAATGGTGGTATTAGGGCTGTACGCAGGGGTAGGAAATGTAGGAAGCGAATGATTGACTGGTGAAATTGGGAGTTTCGGAGGTAAAGCCGGGGGTTCACCATAGGGAGTATTCATCTCCCGTGGGCCTAAAGGACGAGGAGGTCGTGTATTCAAAGCCAAGCGAGGATCGGGAACCGAAGAAGGGTGAGAGGCCTCTGCGGAGGGAGAAGGGAAGAATGTGCTGTCTAAAATCATACCATTATTGTCGCACACGGCTGAAGCCCTTCCTGGATTCCTTAATTCAGCGAATCGTTGGGCGAGAGAATCTTCTGCTGGAACTTTGTCTCTGGCGAGTCTTCGGGTGAGGTTCTCCGGTTTAGGTTTCACTTCTGGCTTTGGCTTTTTCGACGGGGAGCCTGTTGGCTGTAGTATTGACGGAACACCAGTGCCCGAAGTATATTGGAAGCTCGAAGGACTCGGCATGCGAATTGGGAGGTCAGTAGGGCTTTGGACTCCTTCGTATCGAGACGAGGAATCTGACGGGGAGTTTGTGGTGACAAGATACCCTCGCGAACTAGGCCGCGACTGGTTGTCACCGGCGCCATAACCATTGGTATTCTCAAGGGTAATCTTCTTCTTGATGTTCTCCATTGTCGAGTGCTGGGAATTCACGGCCTAGGATTGGTATTAATGTCAGTGGTTGAAAGAGCCAAAACCCACACTTAGAGTCCGGCGGCCGACTGACCATCATAAGCCCTGAAAATTGATCTGCCCATCGTGGATGGTGTTGTTTCATGTAGGCGAAGTCTGGGTGCCTCGGAATTGTGTTAATCACCACGTCAGACGCTCGAAGGTACTGCACAAGCGCAAGATCTAGTTGCCCTTGCTGCGCTAAGATCTTAGACTTCTGAATGGCATCTTCGGATATTCGAACCAGTTCATTCAGCTACCAATACCAAAACGATTAGTTGTACTGCGCGACTATGAGGAATCGGTGGGAGTGGAAAATGTTAGGTGCACCCCGGAGGCTTACTGGAACGTCGCCTTTCAGGTTTAACGACGCAGCCATTTCCTGCAACGAGTCCATATCCAAATATTGCCTGTATGCTGCATCGGCACCGATACTAGCTCGGTCACTGTAATGTGCGCTGTTGGCATGACTTCCGGCGACGGGTCCCCGCATAGCGTCCGGTCAAGAGTCGGGAGGCAAACGACTTGGTATGGTCGACGCGGCGCGTAAATCCTGATATCCGTGGTAAAGCGGTCATTTAAGCCTCGAGAAAAGGGGGCATTGTCGAAAGTCGGTTCACAAGGAGGTGGGGTGTGGGCTGAGGGGATCGTGATGTCGGACTTGACTGAATAACTTGGTGATCAGTAGACAAAGGGATAGTGATGGGTATTTTTGCATGGGGTCTATAACAGAAATAACAAGTCAATAATCGCGATCCCTCTAGGAAGCGGCAGAAGGCAGATGTTAGCGAATGTCGAGTCGAAAAGGCCGCAAGAGAGCACATGTCCCGCTTCAACAAGCCCTGAAACAAGTGACGAGCCCAGGCGGCGAAGGCACCCGATTAGTTTGATAGCGCGCTTATGAGGCCAATGGTGGCACAGCGCTTGCAGCAACCTGACTAAGCCGCCAAAGCGTGTCACATGACTGGGCAGTGACGGGCGGTGTCTCGAGCGGCGGGATGCTCGCAGTGAAGCAGCATGGCCTTTTGTAATCGCAGCAACACTGCCTGAATGCTTCTGCCTTGTCTGCTCACGTACCCGTCAGTGGCGCTCTTTGTCAGCACTCCTCATGCGCGGTTGTGACATTTAAGTTGTGGAGTGCGGAGTAACGAGTGTTAAGTTGCTCTTGTGGTGCATTGGATGCCTTTGGGCTTAGTGTCGTCATCCTCCCAGGTCAGCTTGGGGTCTCACGATAGCACCGTTGACTAGGCAAACACATATCAGCCCTCGTCAGGATTCCACAAGCGCAGGCTTAGAGGTGGTGAGATTTCCGCGTCAACGCATATCGTCAAGATGGCGGGCTGGTTCACTTCGGTTTCGCCGTTCGAAGAGCAGGTCGAGAAGGCCACGGCCTCATCCCTGTAAGTATCAGCAGCTCAGGAGTTATTTCAACCTTCGTCTAACATCCTAACAGAGAAGATATCGCTTTAAATCTCGAGATTTCTGACTTGATTCGATCGAAAACGGTACAACCGAAGGAGGCAATGAAAGTCCTCAAGAGAAGACTAGAGAACAAGAACCCGAATGTGCAGCTGGCTACATTAAAGGCTAGTTGTATATAACCTCTTATGCTCTGCTATCGTTGCTAATGCTCAGGAATTAGTTGACAGATACTTGCGTAAAAAATGGCGGCCGACATTTCCTTCTCGAGATTTCATCCAGGGAGTTCATGGACAATATCGTTTCGCTTCTGAAAACCCAAGGAGTCAACGCCCTTAACGACAACGTAAAAACGAAGATACTGGACTTGATTCAGAGCTGGGCTCTCGCAACCGAGTCGCGCGGTGAGCTGGCGTACGTGGGCGAAACGTATCGGAAATTACAATGGGAGGGCTTTCAATTCCCGCCCAAAACCGAGATGGCTAGTAGCATGCTCGATAGTAGCGCGGTAAGCTCGAGAATGCCATTGTGGCTGTCACACCATACCCTTCTTTGACAGGATGCTAATCTCTGTTTATAAACGAATAGCCCCCCGAGTGGATCGATTCTGACGTTTGTATGCGGTGTCGAACGTCATTTACATTTACCAACCGAAAACACCATTGCCGTAATTGTGGCAATGTCTTTGATGCCCAATGCTCCAGCAAAACCTTGCCTTTACCACATCTTGGAATCGTACAACCGGTTAGAGTGGATGATGGTTGTTATGCGAAACTTACCTCGAAGTCGTTTAACCCGCCGAGCCTGTCCACTAGACCTGGCTTTAATAAATCGCCAAAGACTAGTGTGCGGATGGAACCTCGAGGAGGCCGTGCTGAGACGGATTTCGATGAAGACCTCAAACGCGCGCTTCAATTGAGCCTAGAAGAGGTCAAAGGTAAAGGTCCTAGCGGCTATGTGCCACAATCCAAACCCGCTGTCCAAGTAGCGTCTTCAAACCTAAATGGAACGACAAATGAAGACGAAGAAGACCCCGATTTGAAGGCAGCTATTCAAGCTTCTTTGAGGGATATGGAAGAACAGAAAAGGAAACATACTGCCGCTTTGAAGCATTCGGCGTCTGCAGATACGCACGTATCGGGTGCCTCTGCGGCGATGCTCCCTAAAAAGGACTACGAGCTAACAGCAGCTGAGGCAGAGAAGATCAATTTACTAGCGACACTCGTCGACCGGTTACAGCATCAGCCCCCTGGAACTATACTTAGGGAACCGCAGATTCAAGAATTATATGAAAGTATAGGCGCCTTAAGGCCCAAACTTGCGCGGACATACGGCGAGACAATGAGTAAATATGGTAAGCCATTTGTTTTGTTTTCGACACCTGCTCTGAGGCTAACGGCCCGAAGATACCCTGTTAGACTTGCACGCGAAACTATCGACTGTTGTTCGATATTATGATCGCATGCTGGAAGAACGACTGTCGAACACCTATGCACAACAAACACTTGGAGCCTATGATTCACTTCAGCCAGCCCAGTCCTCCACGAATCTGTACCCAACTATGCCTTCGCAAGTTTCAGAGAGCCAAGGAGGAGCGGAAAATTTCTATCTCGGGTCTAATTCTGAGCGACAGTATTCGGCACCGCAAGCTTACCCTACTATGAGTCGGCATTCGTCGATGGAGCATTCCTTTGACCAGCGTTCTCCATCATCAGCGGCTATTCAGCCATCATCGATGTATACACACCCAGTTTCACAATACAATCACCATCATCAACCATGGCACCACCCAACAGACCCTAATTCTCCCATTTCTACGCCGCAACAAGCTCGCCCAGTATCTTACTTAAACCAACCTCCCCAACAAACGCTTCATACGCACTCCGGGTTTCAAGCGAAGCAGGATTCGGGGCAGGGTGCCAGCCAGCATTTACCGTTAGCAGAGGGGCCATATTCCCAGCCGCCATCTACGTTTCAGAGTTCGCAATATCCACAACAATTGGCAACGCCGCATTCGAGCCAGCCGCACCAGCAGCCTCCAACGGAAGTGGAATCGTCGGCCTCGCAGGCAGGCCCCCTGCAGTCACCGCCTTCGTATCCAACCCAAGGGGGCCAGAAAACCGGATCTTA